TATGTGGATATATTGAAGCAACATCTCAAGAAATCAGTCAGGAAGTTAAAGCTTGGTCGCAAATGGGTCTTCCAAATGGACAATGACCCCAAGCATACTTCCAAAGTTGTGGCAAAATGGCTTAAGGACAACAAAGTCAAGGTATTGGAGTGGCCATCACAAAGCCCTGACCTCAATCCTATAGAAAATGTATGGGCAGAACTGAAAAAGCGTGTGCGAGCAAGGAGGCCTACAAACCTGACTCAGTTACACCAGCTCTGTCAGGAGGAATGGGCCAGAATTCATCCAACTTATTGTGGGAAGCTTGTGGAAGGCTACCCGAAACGTTTGACCCAAATTAAACAATTTAAAGGCAATGCTACCAAATACGAATTCAGTGTATGTAAACTTCTGACCCACTGGAAATGTGATGAAATAAATAAAAGCTGAAATAAATCATTCTCTCTGCTATTATTCTAACATTTCACATTCTTAAAATAAAGTGGTGATCCTAACTGACCTAAGACAGGGAATGTTAACTAGGATTAAATGTCAGGAATAGTTTAAATGTGTTTGGCTAAGGTGTATGTAAACTTCCAACTTCAACTGTAGCTTTCTCATCAGCCCAAATTATTTTGCTGAGTTCATATCAGATCACAGGGAAGAGACACAAGATCCTCTCAATGTGTTGGTTAATTTATCAGTTGAGAGCCGGTATTAGATGTCAGATGAGTAATCTCCGCGATTACTCATTCTAATCACGCTTTCTAAACACATAATATAACACAAAATAGACCAGCCAACCTGGGAAAAAGTGCTTGATATTTTTTTTGCTTACACATTGGGGAGGAATCAGAACGATTAGTACTTGAATTCTTTGTACTTTAGTTGTTAATAATCAGTAAAGAAATTCTCAGAGCAGGCTCAACTTTCCCAACTGCCGTAAATGCCATACATTGTCTGTCTTTGACTTAAACAATGGGGAGTAATTAGAAAGATACGTTTTAGGCTACTGGAATTCATTACAATTTGGTTGTTTTCATTGATCTTTAAAAAAATCACCTGCCCAATGGACAGGGGCGTCATGCACAAAGTAGGTGAGGATGGAGGCAGGGTGGTCAGGAGGAGAGCTGGCCCCCCTCAAGAATTCAGAGAATTTTGAATTTTTCAAATACGAAACAGCTTTTTCCTGCAATCTACAGCCATAATCATTATGCCTAATTATATGTAAAAGCTATGTCTATTTGCATAGGTTATCTAAGCATACCTCTTTACCTGTTCAAGTGACATTTTAATTAATGATGCACATTGATTCTTTAAGAACTTTTATGCCTTAGGAGTTTAGGACAACTGGTACAGTATATAGTATCATAACCCAAGTATTAAAGCACTTTTTGTATTTTCTAAAGTCTAGCAACCTTGCCAGTAGGCATTAGACAAGATACTCTAACTTGATTGATAGCCTGAAATGGCTTGGTAGCTAGTTATGAGGTTCGGAGATTGGAAACATATCTAGCTGGCTAGCTAAAGCCAACTTTATAAAATTGCCTGGTCCAGTCAGTGTGCCCCCTCTGCAAAATACAGCTGACAGGTTTTTTTTATGAATAATAATGATAAAACATCTGAACAATTAATTATTATTTAGTATTTTATTTGTTATTACATACAACAAAATCTATGGGGGCCCCTAAGGCAGGACTGCTCAGTTCACTTGACCCAGGCAAAAGTGCAACCCTTAATGTCAATCCCTGCATAAAAAAAAATATATTATTCAATGAATATGGCCAAACTCTATCATTACCTCAAAAATGGATGGAATATATGCTTTTTTCTGCATATATGCATAGCTTATAGCATAATAATTATGCCAAAAGTAACTATAATATTTTTTATTCCATAGTCTAAGTAGTATGTATGATTAAATAGTCCGTTTGTATTGATATGCTCAGTAAATTTGGCCAGAATCTGTGAATCACTATCCTATCCTATTTGGCTGATTGTGCATTTTACCTGTATCTCTGGCTCAGAAAGTCAGATTCTCACAAGGTAAAAGTATCCTGGTTCAGTGGGGTCTCCTCCAGTTTTCTAAGAGGGTCTACATAATCTGAGAATGATCCTTGGTGGCGCTACCCACCACATCTGTAGGAAAACATTAGAATTATCATATTTTCTGTATATTTGTATAATTGGGTGCCTTTTCAGAAGTGTAACATGGTTAAAACCAACTTTTGATTTCACATAATTTTAACATTCTGTCATATAGAGCACACGTTCAACTTAATAAAAAACATTTTTTCCCATCTCGAAGGATAAAATACAAAAATGACTATAGTAAGTGGCTATTAAGTGCTAAATAAAGTAACAGGGTTGACGATTTCATCTTAAATCTGCCATGTTTTCATCTTCAATCAGTTTTATGCTCGACCCGCTCAGTTTTTCAGCACAAAACAACAGAAAATGGCAGAAAAGAGCAGCTCACCTGCTTTTACAGTATGATTTGACTATTAGATGTTCAATGTTTCCTTTGAAAAAAATATTTAGAAAGGAATAGTTTTACCATATTAATTAAAACGAGAGTTCTGTTCAAGTAACTGACCTTAAAACTGGCTTTACCTTAAAATGAGGGAGGTAAATGAATCACTAATCACATGAAATAAATTATAATCTTCAGAAATGACTTTGTTAAAGCAACAAATTAACAAGGGCTTTACAATGATGATGAAAACTTGGAGAAATGTTGGGGTTAAGTGGGTTAAAATCTTCCTAGTAGTCACAGGGGTGCACAGAGGGACATGTCAAAATGCTGAATCTTGGCACTTTAGCAAGTCTTTATTTATATAAGAAATTTGATTTATTGAATTCTCCATGTAGTTTATATTAAATGGTACTTTATTTAATAAAACATGCTTCTAAAATTCAATGTTGGTGCATAATTTCTACTTAAAACATCAACAACAAAGAAATCTGTCGATGTGCCCTTGAGTGAGGCACTTTACCCTAATTGCTCCTGTAAGTCGCTCTGGATAAGAGCATCTGCTAAATTACAGATTTGACCTTTGACCCCTTCAAAATGGCCTTAAAATCTATATTTAATATGACATCCGGCCTAACTTTGTGTATCACCCTATCATTGTTTGATCTAGCATGAATGAAAGCCTCTAACAAGCAATTTTTTTCAAGCACTTTTTCCAGGTTGACTGACATATTTAACTCAAAGGCCCGTGGAGTCAAAAACGCGATTTCCCTGTGTTTTGTATATATTTCCACACTATGGGGTAGTGTAAAAGCTGTTTGAAAAGACTGCCTGAAATTTCAGCCTATTTTGGTTGGATGGAGTTTTGGCCTGCATGGTGACATCACCAGGTGGTAAATTAGTTAATAGACCAATAAGAAAGAGACTTCCAAACAGGGGTTGGAACCGAAATTATTTTCCAATCGTTTCGTTCTGAACAGAACCATATTTTTTTCAGTTCCATTCCACTGTTCTGACCAGAAAAATAAAGCTCTGAACCGGTTCGAACCAAAAAAACGGTTGATATAATTCATTTCCATTCCTTTTTAAACTTTATTTTTTATTTTTTTACATTTAGCTCAACATTAAATTACTTCACCAACAGTGCGGATAGAGCAGCTTGCTATGGAGCGGGCAAGCTATTTACATGCATTGGACAGACAAGTGTAGGGTGCGAGATGCGACAACTTTTGCGGGTGTAGAGAGTGCGAGAGAGGGTAGAGGAGGAGGTTTGGCTTGAAGCACTGGGCATCTTGTTGTTTTGACATGCATTATCTGAATTAGGCCCACAGAATTATACCTACGAAGGAACTTTGAATGTCTTTGAACTTCAGAGAGTTGGCTTAACGTTGGACCAGAGCTAGCTAGCTAAAAGTTATTAACCGGTTCCCATGCTTTTAAAATAATGGTTCTGTTCCGGAACAGTATAGATCACTTTCGTTCCCAGTTTTCGGTTCTGTTCCCTGAACCTTTTCCGGTTTTCGGTTCTGTTTCCTGAACCGGTTACAACCCCTGGTTCCAAACCTCTCTGCCAATAACAGCCAGTTTTCAGTTTTCCCCTCCCACTCAGACCACTACCAGACAGTCCTAGCAAAATTATTGCTTGAGAAATTGCTCTTTGCGAAGAAGCTATTTTTGTTTCTTTTTGACCATTTTAATTAAATCAATCACAGTAAGGTACATAATTGTTACCCAGAAATGATTTGATAGTGATGTAAAATCAGCTGCATTGGACCATTTGGATAAAAGTTGATCATCATCAACTAATGCTATTTTATTTAAAGGTGCAATATGCAGAAATTGCTATGCCATTTCCTGGTTGCTAAAATTCGAATTGTTTGCCAAATTTCAGTTTATGTGACAAAACAAGCAGTGTAGAGAATCGTTGTACCATCTAAACGGCTGTGAAATATCTTTTCAATAACTGAAAATACTGCATTTGCAGATATTTGAAACTGCTGTACAAAAATGAAAATAAAAGACACAAAAACTAAACATAATAACAGGAATCATACAAATACCGCACATAGAACAGATCTACCGCTTCTTAAACTTGCGTTCAATGAGAATTACAGATCTATAACTCATATTTCTATGTGAATTTGTCACCCAAAAAGTTACATATTGCAGCTTTAAGCTCTGGATAATTTACACTTTCTTTTCTTGCCGAAAAATAAAGAATGAGTCAGTTTAGTCTGCCAATCAACTACAAGAAACATGTCAGCATCCCCAGAATCCCCCTTGTCTCTTGAACTTGAATCCTCTTGCTGTGCAACTGTCACAAAGACCCACATTACTGATTGACAAAACCGGGGGCCCTTTCCCTCCCTAGGTCTGTACCCCCTCCGGTCTCTGTCTGTGCCATGGCTGACCCTGGCTGGTGGAAGCTGACCTTCTCATGCAAGAAGTCTGAGGTCAAGGTTCTGAACAAGATCCCCCCAGGGCAGAGAAATAACATACACAACGCATGTGCACGCGCACACACACAGGCAAGTGTATATCAATACCTATGAACAACAAACAGCCAAACCATTCACGAAAACACAGCCATCTTATTCGCACAAAACAAATATACACTCCCAAGGTGGACACTATACTCAAGTACACCGATGATACTGTAACCAGCTAAATTCTCACTCACACCCATAATAACAATAATGTTCAAGGTTAATTGATGCACAAACATATTAGAATGTGTGGTATCTTTGTGTGGATAGCAAAGTACCTTCAACAGTTCATTCCTGTGAGCATTGCACTTTTCAAGATTTTCAAGAATATGGCAACAAATATGTTGCCTGTGTCTGAACAAGGGATCATGAGTGAATATATCTGGAGTGAATATATGTGAAACATTACCAGTCAAAGGTTTGGACACACCTACTCATTTGAGGGATTTTCTATATTTTTGCAATTTTTTACATTGTAGAATAATAGTGAAGACATCAAATCTATGAAATAACACATATGGAATCATGTAGTAACCAAAAAAGTGTTAAACAAATAAAAATATATTTTTCAAATAACCACCCATTGCCTTGATGACATCTTTGCACACTCTTGGCATTCTCTCAACCAGCTTCATTAGGTAGTCACCTGGAATGCATTTCAATTAACAGGTGTGCCTTCTTAAAAGTTAATTTGTGGAATTTCTTTCCTTCTTAATGCGTTTGAGCCAATCATTTAGATGTTATAGATGTTTGCTATACATATTGTTTTGTATATTTAATGACATGAAGAAGTCTAGTTATTACATAAGACGTGGTGACATAAGAATGTGTAAACTGGGCCCTCTATCAGTGACTTATCGTCCTGTTTGTCACCTAATCTGAGTGTGAAAGTTGGCAAGGCTGGGGTAAAAGGAGTCAGACATAGGAGATGTGAGGAGGGATAGAGGGCATTGAAGCAATCACAGAAAAGGGCATGTCTACTCATAAGAACAAGTCAAAGAGTATAATGTGATCCAGTGATTATTTTCAATTTATACAGTTCTGTGTTTCATCTAACATGCTAGAAAAGGTCTATATAAAATAAAGTTGATAAAACAAAAGTCTGTCAAGGTGTGGCAATATGCTTAATGGTAGGTAAGATGTGACATCTTCTGGCAGAAAAAGCACTGAGTATTCAGTTACAAATTACACTTATCTTTTTTATCCATTCAGTCCATTACAATTCAGATATGCCATCACAAATGCACATTTCTCAAAATCACATAAACGACCAAGCTCATTCTCAGACAACTTTATACACAGAATTACCTTGGCACAACTGAACTCACATCAGCTCTTTTAATATTAATATACCTATATTTAAAAGGCAGTTGGATCCACAGACATGGATTTAAGACTGACAATAAATCATTAACAAATTCAACACAGGGACTTCAGCCTAATAGGCTATCGTTTTTACATTATGACAGAGAAACTGCTGTGGATTTTGGCCTTTAGAAGACATATTAGCAGCTAGACAGAACATGTAGGCTATCCCTGATCCAATAGAATGGAACTCATGTACACAAGTTAAATAACAGACAGACAGTACTGGAGATTGTTTATAGAGGTTGTTGAGGTCTGCGGAAACACATTGTTGATTTTCTGTCATTCATTAACATACAGTGGGGAAAAAAAGTATTTAGTCAGCCACCAATTGTGCAAGTTCTCCCACTTAAAAAGATGAGAGAGGCCTGTAATTTTCATCATAGGTACCCGTCAACTATGACAGACAAAATGAAAAAAAAACATCCAGAAAATCACATTGTAGGATTTTTAATGAATTTATTTGCAAATTATGGTGGAAAATAAGTATTTGGTCAATAACAAAAGTTTCTCAATACTTTGTTATATACCCTTTGTTGGCAATGACACAGGTCAAACGTTTTCTGTAAGTCTTCACAAGGTTTTCACACACTGTTGCTGGTATTTTGGCCCATTCCTCCATGCAGATCTCCTCTAGAGCAGTGATGTTTTGGGGCTGTCGCTGGGCAACACTGACTTTCAACTCCCTCCAAAGATTTTCTATGGGGTTGAGATCTGGAGACTGGCTAGGCCACTCCAGGACCTTGAAATGCTTCTTACGAAGCCACTCCTTCGTTGCCCGGGCGGTGTGTTTGGGATCATTGTCATGCTGAAAGACCCAGCCACGTTTCATCTTCAATGCCCTTGCTGATGGAAGGAGGTTTTCACTCAAAATCTCACGATACATGGCCCCATTCATTCTTTCCTTTACACAGATCAGTCGTCCTAGTCCCTTTGCAGAAAAACAGCCCCAAAGCATGATGTTTCCACCCCCATGCTTCACAGTAGGTATGGTGTTCTTTGGATGCAACTCAGCATTCTTTGTCCTCCAAACACGACGAGTTGAGTTTTTACCAAAAAGTTATATTTTGGTTTCATCTGACCATATGACATTCTCCCAATCCTCTTCTGGATCATCCAAATGCACTCTAGTAAACTTCAGACGGGCCTGGACATGTACTGGCTTAAGCAGGGGGACACGTCTGGCACTGCAGGATTTGAGTCCCTGGCGGCGTAGTGTGTTACTGATGGTAGGCTTTGTTACTTTGGTCCCAGCTCTCTGCAGGTCATTCACTAGGTCCCCCGTGTGGTTCTGGGATTTTTGCTCACCGTTCTTGTGATCATTTTGACCCCACGGGGTGAGATCTTGCGTGGAGCCCCAGATCGAGGGAGATTATAAGTGGTCTTGTATGTCTTCCATTTCCTAATAATTGCTCCCACAATTGATTTCTTCAAACCAAGCTGCTTACCTATTGCAGATTCAGTCTTCCCAGCCTGGTGCAGGTCTACAATTTTGTTTCTGGTGTCCTTTGACAGCTCTTTGGTCTTGGCCATAGTGGAGTTTGGAGTGTGACTGTTTGAGGTTGTGGACAGGTGTCTTTTATACTGATAACAAGTTCAAACAGGTGCCATTAATACAGGTAACGAGTGGAGGACAGAGGAGCCTCTTAAAGAAGAAGTTACAGGTCTGTGAGAGCCAGAAATCTTGCTTGTTTGTAGGTGAACAAATAATTATTTTCCACCATAATTTGCAAATAAATTCATAAAAAATCCTACAATGTGATTTTCTGGATTTTCTTTTCTCAATTTGTCTGTCATAGTTGACGTGTACCTATGACGAAAATTACAGGCCTCTCTCATCTTTTTAAGTGGGAGAACTTGCACAATTGGTGGCTGACTAAATACTTTTTTCCCCCACTGTACCTTGACTACTCTACTAGACAGACTTTGCACTTCATGAGTCAGAAAATGTAAAGCATGCCATATAGCATATTCAGATTAGTAAAACCTTGCATCACAGGTTATGTGCCAGACTGTATAGTTCATAGTTGCATCACATTAATTATTTTCCATTGTTGCCCTGGAGACAATAGGCAATCAGGCTTCCTAACCAACCAGAAACTCTCCTTTATTTGGTATAAAACAAGACCAATTGAACAGAACAGCAAATTATGGCTTAATAAGACACATCATATAGCACCTAGTTATTCAACATCAAAATGTATTCCATTCAACATCAACATGAGAGGTTCCTAATGTATTGAAATGATGGTGGTTTGATTGATGATGTTGACATCATGAGTGAGTTGTACGCTAGGCCCAATCTCCAGCCTGCTCTTTACTCAATTTCCCCTATCCGTCATTGTCAAGGGGATAGCCTCTGGTACACCCAGCCCGCCTCAGCATGATGTTGATACTCTTCTAGAACACTCGCTCCATTTTTCGGCCGTGTGAAGACGATGCGGTCATGTAGCCTGTTGGTCTGACCCTGCCAGAACTCTATCATGTAAGGCTTGACGATATAGCCTCCCCTGTTGGAAGATAGAGGGAAGACGGGCAAAAACAAGAACAGGCTTGCATGATAAGACAACTTACTGAATAGGTTTGGCATGGCAAAGTCATGCAGAGTTCTTGGTGATTTGATAGTGATACTAACCAATAGTCAGGCATTGGGACATCAGTGTCCTTGTACTTTTCCTCCAGCTCTGCATTTTTCTGTCTCAGGTACTGCAGAATGAAACAAAACCTTCAGATGAGCGATTCCACGCCAGGACAGCCCGACAGATTCTGGCAATTCTCACAGAGAAACTTCATTGGGAGGAAGGATGTTTGACATTTGTATCACAGACAAAAAAAAATATCCTCTTCAAAACACATAAAATCTCAAGAGTGGGCTCTCTGGTACCTTTGAAGATATGACACATTTTATACATAGACATTTATATTATAGGTCATTACTAATCACAGCCCTCCTTTAGGATTGCACATTCAGAAAATCACTAGTTTCTTGCTGTGTGGGTGATGCTTAGAAAATAATAACTTAAAAATTAGCAAGACAGCCCACTCTGGAAATTGTATGTACTTGTAGAGTATATTGTTCAAAACAATATATCTTAAAATGAACAAAATCAAAAAGGGTGCTTTCGAAAAAAAATATTTCATGTTGAATAAATTAATGTGATTTTTTATTTTTTTCAGAATCTAGAGATACTACATTATGTTAGAGCACACTATAAGGAGTATAATGACACCAATATGTTGTCTGTATCATGTACAGTTCACAGCTCATCGGGTCTAGTCCCGTGTAGCTCAGTTGGTAGAGCATGGAGCTTGCAACGCCAGTGTTGTGGGTTCGATTCCCACGGGGGACCAGTATGAAAATGTATGCACTCACTAACTGTAAGTCGCTCTGGATAAGAGCATCTGCTAAATAACTAAAATGTAAATGTCTTACAGGAGGCATGTATAGGTCTAAAAAGCGGCTAAAATAGCCAATTTCATCATGATTAAAAAAAAGATTTTTTGTCATACAGTGGGGGAAAAAAGTATTTAGTCAGCCACCAATTGTGCAAGTTCTCCCACTTAAAAATATGAGAGAGGCCTGTAATTTTCATCATAGGTACACGTCAACTATGACAGACAAAATGAGGAAAAAAAGTCCAGAAAATCACATTGTAGGATTTTTAATGAATATATTTGCAAATTATGGTGGAAAATAAGTATTTGGTCAATAACAAAAGTTTCTCAATACTTTGTTATATACCCTTTGTTGGCAATGACACAGGTCAAACGTTTTCTGTAAGTCTTCACAAGGTTTTCACACACTGTTGCTGGTATTTTGGCCCATTCCTCCATGCAGATCTCCTCTAGAGCAGTGATGTTTTGGGGCTGTCGCTGGGCAACACGGACTTTCAACTCCCTCCAAAGATTTTCTATGGGGTTGAGATCTGGAGACTGGCTAGGCCACTTCAGGACCTTGAAATGCTTCTTACGAAGCCAATCCTTCGTTGCCCGGGCGGTGTGTTTGGGATCATTGTCATGCTGAAAGACCCAGCCACGTTTCATCTTCAATGCCCTTGCTGATGGAAGGAGGTTTTCACTCAAAATCTCACGATACATGGCCCCATTCATTCTTTCCTTTACACGGATCAGTCGTCCTGGTCCCTTTGCAGAAAAACAGCCCCAAAGCATGATGTTTCCACCCCCATGCTTCACAGTAGGTATGGTGTTCTTTGGATGCAACTCAGTATTCTTTGTCCTCCAAACACGACGAGTTGAGTTTTTACCAAAAAGTTCTATTTTGGTTTCATCTGACCATATGACATTCTCCCAATCCTCTTCTGGATCATCCAAATGCACTCTAGCAAACTTCAGAAAGGCCTGGACATGTACTGGCTTAAGCAGGGGGACACGTCTGGCACTGCAGTATTTGAGTCCCTGGAGGCGTAGTGTGTTACTGATGGTAGGCTTTGTTACTTTGGTCCCAGCTCTCTGCAGGTCATTCACTAGGTCCCCCCGTGTGGTTCTGGGATTTTTGCTCACCGTTCTTGTGATCATTTTGACCCCACGGGGTGAGATCTTGCGTGGAGCCCCAGATCGAGGGAGATTATCAGTGGTCTTGTATGTCTTCCATTTCCTAATAATTGCTCCCACAGTTGATTTCTTCAAACCAAGCTGCTTACCTATTGCAGATTCAGTCTTCCCAGCCTGGTGCAGGTGTACAATTTTGTTTCTGGTGTCCTTTGACAGCTCTTTGGTCTTGGCCATAGTGGAGTTTGGAGTGTGACTGTTTGAGGTTGTGGACAGGTGTCTTTTATACTGATAACAAGTTCAAACAGGTGCCATTAATACAGGTAACGAGTGGAGGACAGAGGAGCCTCTTAAAGAAGAAGTTACAGGTCTGTGAGAGCCAGAAATCTTGCTTGTTTGTAGGTGACCAAATACTTATTTTCTACCATAATTTGCAAATAAATTCATAAAATATCCTACAATGTGATTTTCTGATTTTTTTTTCTCAATTTGTCTGTCATAGTTGACGTGTACCTATGATGAAAATTACAGGCCTCTCATCTTTTTAAGTGGGAGAACTTGCACAATTGGTGGCTGACTAAATACTTTTTTTCCCCACTGTACATGTCAAGCATCCTTCCTCCCAATGACGTTTCTATGTGAAAATTGGCAGAACAATCTGCGAAAGCCCCAAAACATTTTTGGGTATCCTGGCCTGGAATCACCCAGATTTAACATATTTCATTAATTTCCCTCATTTTGGCAATGTCCAATGGTGGATCGCAATAATACAGTGGAGTAGTATGGGCTTGTCCTCACATTTCTGTCAGGGACGGCAGTGCTTTGTCTGCTCACAATGGCCCCGATCTGGCTACTCTTGGGCCGGGAGTGGAAGTAGTCACAGGAGCTCTGGTAAGGGATTCTCTCCACATTGCCCTCGATACGGATCTGCACACACACATTCTCAAGGGTAGTGCCAACTACTGTACAGAAAATTCAGTGTCATCCTGCATTAGTTAACTCGTTCAAAAACCACATCACAACAGCTTCACACATGTACAGTGGCTTGCGAAAGTATTCACCCCCCTTGGCATTTTTCCTATTTTATTGCCTTACAACCTGGAATTAAAATTGATTTTTTGGGGGTTTGTATCATTTGATTACACAACATGCCTACCACTTTGAAGATGCAAAATATTTTTGGGGGTGAAACAAACAAGAAATAAGACAAAAAAACTGAAAACTTGAGCGTGCATAACTATTCACCCCTCCAAAGTCAATACTTTTTAGAGCCACCTTTTGCTGCAATTACAGCTGCAAGTCCCCTGTAGCTCAGTTGGTAGAGCATGGCGCTTGCAACACCAGGGTTGTGGGTTCGATTCCCACAGGGGGCCAGTATGAAAAATGTATGCACTCACTAACTGTAATTCGCTCTGTATAAGAGCGTCTGCTAAATGATTAAAATGTAAGTCTCTTGGGGTATGTCTCTATAAGCGTGGCACATCTAGCCACTGGGATTTTTGCCCATTCTTCAAGGCAAAACTGCTCCAGCTCCTTCAAGTTGGATGGGTTCCGCTGGTGTATAGCAATCTTTAAGTCATACCAGTTTCTCAATTGGATTGAGGTCTGGGCTTTGACTAGGCCATTCCAAGACATTTAAATGTTTCCCCTTAAACCACTTGAGTGTTACTTTAGCAGTATGCATAGGGTCATTGTCCTGCTGGAAGGTGAACCTCCGTCCCAGTCTCAAATCTCTAGAAGACTGAAACAGGTTTCCCTCAAGAATTTCCCTGTATTTAGCGCCATCCATCATTCCTTCAATTCTGACCAGTTTCCCAGTTCCTGCCAATGAAAAACATCCCCACAGCATGATGCTGCCACCACCATGCTTCACTGTGGGGATGGTGTCCTCGGGGTGATGAGAGGTGTTGGGTTTGTGCCAGCCATAGCGTTTTCCTTGATGTCCAGAAAAGCTCAATTTTAATCTCATCTGACCAGAGTACCTTCTTCCATATGTTTGGGGAGTCTCCCACATGCCTTTTGGCGAACACCAAACATGTTTGCTTATTTTTTTTCTTGAAGCAATGGCTTTTTTCTGGCCACTCTTCCGTAAAGCCCAGCTCTGTGGAGTGTACGGCTTAAAGTGGTCCTATGGACAGATACTCCAATCTCCGCTGTGGAGCTTTGCAGCTCCTTTAGGGTTATCTTCGGTGTCTTTGTTGCCTCTCTGATTAATGCCCTCCTTGCCTGGTCCGTGGGTTTTGGTGGGTGGCCCTCTCTTGGCAGGTTTGTTGTGGTGCCATATTCTTTCAATTTTTTAATAATGGATTTAATGGTGCTCTGTGGGATGTTCAAAGTTTCTGATATTTTTTTATAACCCAACCCTGACACTTAGATTGCACACAGGTGGACATTATTTAACTAATTATGTTACTTCTGAGGGTAATTGGTTGCACCAGATCTTATTTAGGGGATTCACAGCAAAGGGGGTGAATACATATGCACGCACCACTTTTCCATTATTTATTTAGTCGAATTTTTTGAAACAAGTAATTTTTTTCATTACACTTTACCAATTTGGACTATTTTGTGTATGTCCATTACATGAAATCCAAATAAAAATCCATTTAAATTACAGGTTGTTATGCAACAAAGGAATAGGAAAAACGCCAAGGGGGATGAATAGTTTTGCAAGGCACTGTATACCTAACCTATTCACCATTTAAAATCAAAGATATGTGAAGATATTAAAACAATGGGTTGACAAGTAGGCTACATTTTAAGAGGTAAAATGAAGCACATACCTGCCTGTTGATGGGCTCCCAGTAAAAGCACAGACATGCGTAAGGGTTGCTCTCCTACCGGAAGGGAAATGAAAGAATCTGATGTAAAGTCTGCAAACAGAAGTAGTAGGGCTGGGCGATATGGCCAAAATATCATATCACAGTATTTAAAAAAAAGTTGATGGTATTTGACGGTATTTAATTTTTTTGAATAATAAAATATCTAAATTACCTTTACGAGAAGTGTGTGACCCAACGGTGGCAACACATGCATTCTACGTGATTTTAATGGGTCTTTCTCTATTCTGATTGTTTTATATACTGATCAATTTAACTTCAACCTAAAATAATTTCCTGCATTTCCATCAATTTCTGCATTTCCTGCACTCATTTTAGATAATTTCCACACTGCCAGCTAACTAGCGATTAGCATTAGCGGCTAACAGGATTTAGCTCAAACTTGCTAAGAAAAGACAAAGTAGCTGTTTGCAGATGTAACACAAACTAATAGTGTAATTATAGAATGCTTGTGGATTTATATTAAGAAGCCAAGTGGAAACAATATTGTTGTCTCGTGGTCAAGCAACAACAAATGTGCTCCTTGAGTGACAGGGGACGGGGCTAGATCTGTGTGGAAAGCGGCATAGAGAGAGAGAGCGGAGAGGGATGACTCAAGTAGCGGAGTAAACTATAAAAATGGACGTTACACACGGCATATCACATTTAACAAACCAAACATTCAAATACTGTTATAGAAGGTAAAGTAAAAACCTAAACCGGTCCGTGCATCAATACAGGTATATTGTAAAATACGGTATACCGCCCAGCCCTAAGAATAGTCTGGCATAGTCTAGTAGTGCATACATTTGAGAGGACAGGAAGATGCCTGCCTCGTGACAGTAGCTGACACTAACCAGCTCTCCACCTTTCCGGCTCTCGTAGTTGGTAAAGAAGCGGAAGCCTTCATCGCTGTAGCCTTTTAACAAGACCATACGAGCAGATGGACGTCCTTCTCTTAATGGAGAAATAGACAGATTGGTAGAAAATGTGTTACAATTTTGGCTTAAGAAGCAAGCATTGTGTTTGAGGGAGTACATATGGGGGTACTCACTTAGTAGATGTGGCGATGCACATTGCATTGGGCTCTCCAATTTCAGGACACTTTGCGGCTTGATCAAACCAATCTCCAAACTGCTTGATAGGGTCCAGAGACACGAGCTGATTCTCTTCAAAGCACTACGACATGTTAACATAATGAGACTTTTACATCAAAATGCACATTACATTGAATATATAAGCAGACATTGGCATTTAAGGAAATACATTTTGACCCATGTCTATTATGCCATCTTCAATACATTTCTGATATCACTCCAATTACTGGGGTGTATGCAGTGAGGTGAACCTTCATAACGTTGCAGATGATAATGATGTTATGACTAGAGGTGACACAATTCTCTATTCTGCATTACCATTTGTTCTACAACATGCTCTGTAATGTCACAATCACCTGATTGGGACCCTGATACATTACATGACCAAAAGTATATGGACACCTGAACATCTCATTCCAAAATCATGGGCATTAATATGGAGTTGGTCCCCCCTTTGCTGCTATAACAGCCTCCAGTCTTCTGGGAAGGCTTTCCACTAGATGTTGGAACATTGCTGAGGGGACTTGCTTCCATTCATCCACAAGAGCATTAGTGAGGTCGGGCACTGATGTTGGGCGATTACGCCTGGCTTGCAGTCGGCATTCCAATTCATCCCAAATGAGTTTGATGGGGTTGAGGTCAGGGCTCTGTGCAGGCCAGTCAAATTCTTCCACACCGATCTCGACAAACCATTTCTGTATGGACCTTGCTTTGTGCACAGGGGCACTGTCATGCTGAAACAGGAAAGGGCCTTCCCCAAATTGTTGCCACAAAGTTGGAAGCACAGAATCCTCTAGAACATGGATCATCAACTAGATTCAGCCGCGGGCCGTTTTTTTCTTGAGTGGACGGTTGGGGTGCCGGAACATAATTACAAATAATTTGTAGATGGCAAATTGACCTCAAGAAGCCCAAACAGATACAGTATAATGTTTGACAAAAACATAATAATTTCAAACCTTGCTTACATTTATATATATGATCACGTTTCTCTCTATTATGAGTGGGAATACTTGGGAACAGATTTCTTAAATTAAAAATCACTTGTAGCTGATTTCCTGGTGTTTTTAGTCTATTATGTCCAACAATAAAACATTTATTTATTTTCTCAGAAAACTTGGGGGGGACAAATAAAACCACCCACGGGCCAAATTCGGACCGTGGCTGCCAGTTGGGGAACCCTGGTCTAGAATATCATTGTATGCGGTATTGTTAAGATTTCCCTTCACTGGAACTAAAGGGCCTAGCCCGAACCTTGAAAAACAGCCCCAGACCATTATTCCTCCTCCACCAAACTTTACAGTTGGCACTATGCATTGGGGCAGGTAGCGTTCTCCTGGCATCCGCCAAACCCAGATTCCTCCGTCAGACTGCCAGATGGTGAAGTGTGATTCATCATTCCAGAGAACGCGTTTCCACTGCTCCAGAGTCCAATGGCGCCGAACTTTACACCACTCCAGCCAACGCTTGGCATTGCGCATGGTGATCTTAGGCTTCTGTGCGGCTGTTCGGCCATGGAAACCCATTTCATGAAGCTCCCGAGGAACAGTTCTTGTGCTGACGTTGCTTCTAGAAGCAGTTTGGAACTCAGTAGTGAGTGTTGCAACCGAGGACAGACGATTTTTACGCGCTTCAACACTCTGCGGTCCCGTTCTGTGAGCTGGTGTGGCCTACCACTTCGCAGCTAAGCCGTTGTTGCTCCTAGACGTTTCCACTTCACAATATCACCACTTACAGTTGACCGAGGCAGCTCTAGCAGGGCACAAATTTGACAAACTGACTTGTGTGAAAGGTGGCATCCTATGATGGTGCCACGTTGAAAGTCACTGAGGTCTTCAGTAAGGCAATTCTACTGCCATTGTTTGTCTATGGAGATTGCATGGCTGTGTGCTCGATTGTATACACCTGTCAGCAACAGGTGTGGATGAAATACCAGAATCCACTAATTTGAAGGGGTGTCCACATACCTTTGTATATATAGTGTATATTATAGGGGCCGTTATGCTCCCTTTGCCATTGCTGGAGCTGTTGGGAGAAGCCCCTTCATTACATCACAAGATTTTGCACGTAAACGAAGTCAGCTTTGTAAGCAGATTTTAAAATTTGAGTAAAGTACATTCAATTGACATATCATACTTGCAATGCGATGAAAATGCTGGGGTCATCAAGGTCATTTACACTCCAAAACTGTGCTAAATAATACACCACTGAAACAATGTGAGCAAACTGTAGGCATTGTCGTGCCGCTGGAATATGCAAGTATCTGCAATTGCCATTGACATCTTTATGGTCATTCAACCCAAATTATAAAGGTAAGTGAGGTAGCTTGTGCCATAACAAGAAGGTAAGAAATACAAACTCTTGTTTATTCTCACCTCTTCGTCTCCTTTGTATTTTTTCCGCATGCCACTGAGATCCATGGCTGTAGAATCACTCGTAGACTTCGTGCAAAGGGACTGAGAAAATAAGGCTCGAAGGCAAGCTGTCAAAGAGGCATGGGAATGAAGGTATTTACCTATTTCACTGATATTCTTTAATGTACTGCAACTGAGTATGCGCCTCATGGTTGTACAACAATCACGCAAAGCCTGACTGACGTAATCACGTTCGCTGTCTCACGTAAAATATTACGCAAACATTAGCTGACTTTTGTGACCAAAGACAGTACTGTATGAAGATAGGCAGAAACTGCTTCTCCAGTATAAATCAATGACCTACTAAGCTCATGCGCAGAAACACGTTATCGGGTTTAACGGTTGTCTCGATTCGAACTGCGCATATGCAGGCCGTCAAATCAAAGGCATTTTTTTGACGAAAATGAAAACGTGTCAGTTTGTACATTTCACGAGGTTGGAGTAATAACATGTTCAACTAGTTAAGACATTTGCTCGAATATAGGTTGTGCATTTAGATTTCGAGAAAATGATTAAATGAATACATCTACATGTCGAGTCAAGCCATGTTGTTGTTGGTGCAGGAGTCCATGTCCTCGGTTGTACACAGTGTATGTACACCTTATTTCGATTATGACTTAAATGAGGCAAGCACAGTCACTTCATAGCTAGCCGTCATTAGTTAGTTACACCAGCTAGCTACATAACAAGCTAGTTACATTGTAGCAAGTACCTGGTTAGCAAGTGCGTGGCTACATTGTAACAAGCAGAGCATTGCAACAACAGCCTTTAAAAATACACCTGGAGAAAAAACAAATTGCAACTTCATGCTTTACTCTTGGGTGGAAGGTTATTACAGAGAGCCTGATGTGCATGATGCTCTGTACACTACCACCATATACATCCTTTCTTTGATGTCAAACCTGAGCCAAGACCATCACTGTACAAAGATAATCACATTAACAGAAAGATGGATTGTATTGTATCACTCACACCATATACTGTATTATTGGAATGTATGCACATGCACATGCACACACAAGTGAACACTTTTATTCCATGCAATGAAGTTATCAGGTTTTATTGCCTGCATAGAAACATGTCAGTCTGTCTAACCTCTATTATTTGTAATAAATCCTCCTTTATAAACCCACAATAAACCCCTTGTTAATGTAACATGTGTGTCTACAGAATGGCTGCCCCTGATGCAGAGTGTCCGGCATAGCTCTAAGGCAGTCACACGTCACAGGAAGTACATGCACATCCTCAAACAGAAGCTGATGACTGTCACTGAATACATTCCACCCAAACCTACGGCTCCCCCAGGGGCTCTGACCCTCCAGGTCAAACCAGTTCAGAAGGTCAGTGAAGTCCAGCGCATGTGTTTATAACTCAAAAACAAGCACAAGCAATCCACCAACATCTATATTTGTGCAGTGCTGAAAGGAGAGCTCCTCCATCCGGTCAGTTAGGAATAGTAGTGATGTGAGCTAGTATCGAGATGTGGGCTGATTTATGAGTCCTGCTTTATTCACAGGAATGTGGCCTGGTGTTGCTCTTGAAGAAGGAATTGCAGACCATGTTCCAGGACTCTAAGATGATCGCTGTGATCCAAAACAATGCCACCAATTCAGAGGACATGCTGCTTCTCAAGCACAGGCTCTACTAGCTTGCCATCAAAATCAAGTTCATCCCCAACCAGGTAATATTGTGCCTTTGAGGCAAATTGTATAGCCGTTTGCATTTGGAACGATTGTAATACGATGTTTTTGATCTTGTTTAACCATAGGTGATGAGGTCCTACCTGTCAGACAGCCCTTACATTAACGTGGGGCCTCTATTCATTGGCCAGGCTGTTATATTTGTTAGTAAAGAGCCAAAGGTGAAAGAGATGCTTCTGAGTTTGAGGACCAGCCCCCAGATGGTATTACATTTACATTTACATTTTAGTCATTTAGCAGACGCTCTTATCCAGAGCGACTTACAGGAGCAATTAGGGTTAAGTGCCTTGCTCAAGGGCACTTTTACGTCATTTAGCAGACGCTCTTAAACAGAGCGACTCACAAATTGGTGCATTCACCCTATAGGCAGTGGGATAACCACTTTACAAATTTTTTTTTTGGGGGGGGTAGAAGGATTACTTTATCCTATCCCAGGTATTCCTTAAAGAGGTGGGGTTTCAAATGTCTCCGGAAGGTGGTGAGTGACTCCGCTGTCCTGGCGTCGTGAGGGAGCTTGTTCCACCATTGGGGTGCCAGAGCAGCGAACAGTTTTGACTGGGCTGAGCGGGAACTATGCTTCCGCAGAGGAAGGGGAGCCAGCAGGCCAGAGGTGGATGAACGCAATGCCCTCGTTTGGGTGTAGGGACTGATCAAAGCCCGAAGGTACAGAGGTGCCGTTCCCCTCACTGCTCCATAGGCAAGCACCATGGTCTTGTAGCGGATGCGAGCTTCAACTGGAAGCCAGTGGAGTGTGTGGAGGAGGGGGGTGACGTGAGAAAACTTGGGAAGGTTGAACACCAGACGGGCTGCGGCATTCTGGATGAGTTGTAGGGGTTTAATGGCACAGGCAGGGAGGCCAGACAACAGCGAGTTGCAGTAGTCCAGACGGGAGATGACAAGTGCCTGGATTAGGACCTGTGCCGCTTCCTGTGTAAGGCAGGGTCGTACTCTCCGAATGTTGTAGAGCATGAACCTGCAGGAGCGGGTCACCGCCTTGATGTTAGCGGAGAACGACAGGGTGTTGTCCAGGGTCACGCCAAGGCTCTTCGCACTCTGGGAGGAGGACACAACGGAGTTGTCAACCGTGATGGCGAGATCATGGAACGGGCAGTCCTTCCCCGGGAGGAAGAGCAGCTCCGTCTTGCCAGGGTTCAGCTTTAGGTGGTGATCCGTCATCCATACTGATATGTCTGCCAGACATGCAGAGATGCGATTCGCCACCTGGTTATCAGAAGGGGGAAAGGAGAAGATTAGTTGTGTATCGTCAGCGTAGCAATGATAGGAGAGGCCATGTGAGGATATGACAGAGCCAAGTGACTTGGTGTATAGGGAGAAAAGGAGAGGGCCTAGAACTGAGCCCTGGGGGACACCAGTGGTGAGAGCACGTGGTGCGGAGACAGCTTCTCGCCACGCCACTTGGTAGGAGCGACCGGTCAGGTAGGACGCAATCCAGGAGTGAGCCGCGCCGGAGATGCTCAGCTCGGAGAGGGTGGAGAGGAGGATCTGATGGTTCACAGTATCAAAGGCAGCAGACAGGTCTAGAAGGACAAGAGCAGAGGAGAGAGAGTTAGCTTTAGCAGTGCGGAGAGCCTCCGTGACACAGAGAAGAGCAGTCTCAGTTGAATGACCAGTCCTGAAACCTGACTGGTTTGGATCAAGAAGGGGAGGATTCAGCAGTGAGGAAAATGTGGCAAATAGCTTCCTAGGGTTAGAGGCAGATGCTTGGAATTTAGAGTGGTAGAAAGTGGCCTTAGCAGCAGAAACAGATGAAGAAAATGTAGAGAGGAGGGAGTGAAAAGATGCCAGGTCGGCAGGGAGTTTAGTTTTCTTCCATTTCCGCTCCGCTGCCCGGAGCTCTGTTCTGTGAGCTCGCAATGAGTCATCAAGCCACGGAGCTGGAGGGGAGGACCGAGCCGGCCGGGAGGATAGGGGACACAGAGAGTCAAAGGATGCAGAAAGGGAGGAGAGGAGGGTTGAGGAGGCAGAATCAGGAGATTGGAGGGAGAAGCCATCCTCAGGAAAGGAACTTATCAAGGCGTCAAGCTCATTGATGAACTCTCCAAGGGAACCTGGAGGGCGATAGATGACAAGGATATTAAGCTTAAATGGGCTAGTGACTGTGACAGCATGGAATTCAAATGAGGAGATAGACAGATGGGTTAGGGGAAAAATTGAGAATGTCCACTTGGGAGAGATTAGGATTCCTGTGCCACCACCCCTCTGACCAGATGCTCTCGGGGTATGCGAGAACACATGGTCAGACGAGGAGAGAGCAGTAGGAGTAGCAGTGTTTTCAGTGGTAATCCATGTTTCCGTCAGCGCCAGGAAGTCGAGGGACTGGAGATTAGCATAGGCTGGGATGAAGTCAGCTTTGTTGCAGCAGAACGGCAGTTCCAGAGGCTGCCTGAGACCTGGAACTCCAGGTGTGGGGTGCGTGCAGGGACCACCAGGTTAGAGAGGCAGCAGCCACGCGGTGTGGGGCGTTTGTGTAGCCTGTGCAGAGAGGAGAGAACAGGGATAGGCAGAGGCATAGTTGACAGGCTGTAGCAAATGGCTACAATAATGCAGAGGAGATCGGAATGAAATGAACTAAACATCTGGGAGAGTAGAGAGCAGGGCCTCCCTCACCAAAAACTTCTACCTCAGAAACTATAATTGTTTCACTGAACCACCCGAACAAAAACTCTACCAACTTCCACCTTTAGAAATCAGAATTGTTGTGAACCACAGCGGTTCAATGTTTAAAGGAATAGACTCAACCCACTTTATTCAGCTAGCTAACTATGACACCATAGCTAACTAGCATGCTAGCATCCAATAACACACAGTTTAGCACCAACACTTGGTCACAACAAACCACCAATAGTGTGTTAACACACTAAGCAGATAATTTGGCTATGTAGCACAACTATATTGTATTTAGCTACTACAGTACAGTTAGCTGGTCACGTTGGCTAGCTAGCAATGGCCACTGTGTTGACCTTGTTTGAAGAACGGCTAGCTAGCTAACTAGCTTCGTGCAACCCCCGGCACCACCGAAAAACAATGCCAACCTACAGTAACTAGAGAGTACAATCTGATGGTCCTACTCTCAGTATAGCAAAACTGTATTACATGACTTCAGTGAAGATACTATAATACAAGCAATTGTATAATATCTTACTTTTCCTCCCACTGTTTTAGGGGCCTGTATTGAGAAGACACTGCTGAGTCGGCAGAGGGTGTTGAACGATGCCAAGCTGTCGTCAGTGACTCTGGTCCTGGGAGAGCTGGTGAGCGGCCTCACCATGCTGACCTCTTAGACAGCCTCCATGCTGCAGTGCCACCCTGCCCACCTCTCATTGCTGCTCCAGCAGTATCTCAAACAGCAGGGGACCCCAGGGGAGAGCACACCCAAGGCAGAGGAGACTGCTTTGGTCTAGGAGATTCACCCTTATGGGGGAGGGGAATGATGTTGGCAGCACTATGGCTTCTGGTAGTAAAGAAGGGGTTTCATGTCTGCAGATTTGAGGTCTGCCTCTGTGACCTGGAGGTCATATAATGTACAGTACTACATGAACTGCTACAACACCTTTTCAGAGCAACTCTTAGTTTCTGTTCCTTTTGTGCATTATTTTGATTACTGCTCATATTTTGTTCTATTTAAGGGCCTTTATGGCCATATTAAAAATAAATGATGTCAATGTTTAAAATATTGTATTAGCAAATGGCAAGTGTTTTGTTATTGATTTGAAATTATTTAATTGGTCCAAAAAACTCAAAGTAAATTCACCAACCTACTTGGTTAAAGAAGTTAAGAGGTAATCCTCTGGGGTGAGCCTTTTTGAATATATCAAAATCTGAGTAGACATTTGCAAAAGTCATTACCAAGAGTCATGCATGTTGCAATAGTAATGAGAATCAGTCTAGCCAAAATAAACACAAGTGGTCTCGGAGATCCTGATAAATGCTAATCTGGGGATTACAGAATGTTAATCTGGGTCAGTTAGTCTATTACCGGTTACCGCTGCTATTCTGGGTTTCTGGGAGAGAACCTACCATATTCATCTCAATTCAATATCAGTCTGTCACAGGGCAAGCCCTACTAACCCACAGGGTTGTGTATACATTTACATTTACATTTTAGTCATTTAGCAGACGCTCTTATCCAGAGCGACTTGCAGTTAGCACATACATTATTTTATCGAACCCACAACCCTGGCGTTGCAAACGCCATGCTCTACCAACTGAGCTACATCCCCTGCTGGCCATTCCCTCCCCTACCCTGGACGACGCTAGGCCAATTGTGCGCCGCCCCATGGGTCTCCCGGTCGCGGCCGGCTACGACAGAGCCTGGATTCGAACCAGGATCTCTAGTGGCACAGCTAGCACTGCGATGCAGTGCCTTAGACCACTGCGCCACTCGGGATGTATGTATGAATAGAATGAGTGTGCCATATCACATGAAATATCCTGTTCAAATAGCCCTCTTGAATTTTTGTCTTATTTAACTATAGAAAATAGCTTTTCACATAATGTCAAAACATTGGATCATGTGTATTCTATGCTGCAGAACAACATTGAAGAGACTTTATTTAAATGTCTTGTAAACATGCAGTTATCCAATGGAGAGAGAGGGACAGACAAGCCTAGGTGCACCATCAGTTGTCGGGTCTAAATGTCTAGCAACACCCCATAAGCACATGTAATTCCTTAGGCTAATGCGGATAATGCCCTGGGCACATTGTGCAGTGGCACAGCTCTCCATGGATTTGGGGGATGCACATTTTACTCATTGCGTGAGGACAGGGAAGCCGTCGTTGGCAGTTTCACTTATTTCTTGTTTTTTTTTTCCGCATATTTGTTGAGAAAGCCATTGTTCAACGATATGGTAAGGCTCTGTGATTTGACAAACAAATGGGAAATCACAAAGTTTGTTGGACATTTGAAGAAAAAATAATTACCACGATGAGAGTTGTCACACATGAACTTCAGGTAAGCACACAGACTGAATATTTGCATTTATTGAATGTGTAGTTGACGAGATGACTTTTCAGGAAAGTTATTGGAATTGCAATTTCAACATGTTCACTTTAGCCAACTAAACAAACAACCACATAACCAAAACAAGCTACAGTATTTATTGGGTTTACCGGTTTCAAAATGTTGCGATTAGACATAAATATTGCAATAATATCAGATAATTATAGATTAGGCTATTATAGAATGCATTTGTTTTAACACTTTATTAAGCACATCATTAATCAGACTAGGATCTTATGGCTATGAATGAGATGTTTATTCAATAGATGATGGTTGAAAATAAATCCCACATTTTAAACTTGTGCCATGCTTAAAATGGCTTTGTTTAGTTCAGAACATGAGTCAAGTTGTGTGGGACAGTAATTCATAATGGGCTTTAGATAAGAGCCTCCTTGCCCCTATTTAACCCTTGTGATGGGGCCCCAGGTTATGCCTTTTTGCATTGTGCTTTCTTGAGAATAACAGGCAGTTTGTATTATTTAAGCACATAGCAAGTTTACTCACTTGTTTGATCACCAACTTCAACCTGTCTGTGGTACACTGACGCTATTGTCAGACAGTGGCAAAGCAGACTCGACAGACCAGACCGAGGTTTGGAAAGTCAATGTAAGAAGTGAAACATTTGTTTAATTCAATTTTCTGCGTTCGGAAAGTATTCAGACCCTTTGACTTGTTCCAAATTTTGTTACGTTACAGCCTTATTCTAAAATGGATTAAATCGTTTTTTCCCTCATCAATCGATACACAATACCCCATAATGACAATGCAAAAGCAGGTTTTTAGACATTTTAGCCAATAAAAAAAATATATAGAAAACGGAAATATCACATTTACGGAAGTATTCAGACCCTTTACTCAGTACTATAGGGCGGCAGGTAGCTTAGTGGGTAAGAGCGTTGTGCCAGTAACCGAAAGGTCGCTGGTTCTAATCCCCGAGCCGACTAGGTGAAAAATCTGTCGATGTGCCCTTAAGCAAGGCACTTAACCCTAATTGCTCATGTAAGTCGCTCTGGATAAGAGCGTCTGCTAAATGACTAAAATGTAAAATGTAAATGTACTTTGGTGAAGCACCTTTAGCAGCAATTACAGCCTTGGGTATTCTTGGATATGATGCTACAAGCTTGGCGCACATGTATTTGGGGAGTTTCTCCCATTCTTCTCTGCAGATCCTCTCAAGCTCTGTTAGGTTGGATGGGGAGCGTCGCTGCACAGCTATTTTCAGGTCTCTCCAAAGATGTTCGATTGGGTTCAAGTCCGGCCTCTGGCTGGGCCACTCAAGGACATTCAGAGACTTGTCCCGAAGCCACTCTTGCGTTGTCTTGGCTGTGTGCTTAGGGTCGTTGTCCTGTTGGAAGGTGAACCTTCACCCCAGTCTGAGGTCCTGAGAATTCCGGAGCAGGTTTTCATCAAGGATCTCTCTGGACTTGGCTCCGTTCATCTTTCCCTCGATCCTGACTAGTCTCCCAGTCCCTGCTGCTGAAAAACATCCCCACACCATGATGCTGCGACCACCATGCTTCACCATAGGGATGGTGCCAGGTAAACTTCAAGCTGGCTGTCATGTGTATTTTACTGAGGAGTCGCTTCCGTCTGGCCACTCTACCATAAAGGCCTGATTGGTGGAGTGCTGCAGAGATGGTTGTCCTTCTGGAAGGTTCTCATATCTCCACAGAGGAACTCTGGAGCTCTGTTAATGTGACCATCGGGTTCTTGGTCACCTCCCTGACCAAGGCCCTTCTCCCCCGATTGCTCAGTTTGGCCGGGCGGCCAGCTCTAGGAAGAGTCTTGGTGGTTCCAAACTGTGTTCTTGGGGACCTTCAATGGTACCCTTCCCCAGATCTGTGCCTCGACACAATCCTGTCTCAGAGCTCTATGGACAGTTCCCTCATAGCTTGGTGTTTGCTCTGACATGCACTGTCAACTGTGGGACCTTATATAGACAGGTGTGTGCCTTTCCAAATCATGTCCAATCAATTGAATTTACCACAGGTGGACTCCAATCAAGTTGTAGAAACATCTCAAGGGTGATCAATGGAAACACGATGCACCTGAGCTCAATTTTGAGTCTCATAGCAAAGTGACTGTATACTTATGTAAATAAGGTATTTCAGTTTTTTATTTGTAATAAATTTGCAAAAAATTCTAAAGACCTGTTTTCGCTTTGACATTATGGGGTATTGTGTGTAGATTGATGAGGGGAAAAAATAATTTAATCCAATTTAGAATAAGGCTGTAACGTAACAAAATGTGGAAAAAGTCAAGGGGTCTGAATACTTTCCGAATGCACTGTTTATCTTTGGTAAAATAAATATCACAAACCTAGCGCACTGGGCCTTTACTAGTCCTGTATTAGCGACTGATATAGCCATCTGTAGCTAGGGCTTTTTTTTGCAGTTGAGATTACATTAATAGTAGGCCTACATGGTGCAAGGTTCTAACAGCAGACCTATTTGCTTGCTGCCAGCTCTTAGCAAACTGTTGGAAAAAATTGTGTTTGATCAAATACAATGCTATGTCTTTGCAAACAAATTAACAACAGACTTTCAGCATGCTTATAGAGAAGGGCACTCAACATGTACTGCACAGCTATTTTCAGGTTTCTCCAGAATGTTTATTTATTTAATCAATTTTAGAACAAGGCTGTAACGTAACAAAATGTGCAAAAAGTTAATGGGTCTGAATACTTTCTGAATTCACTGTATACCACGGCTGTCACCAATCAGCATTCAGGGCTGAACCAGTTTATAATTAAGCAATAAGGCCCGAGGGGGTGTGGTATATGACCAATATACCACGGCTAAGGGCTGTTCTTAAGCATCGGGTGCCTTATTGCTATTATAAACTGTTTACCAACGGAATTAGAGCAGTAAAAATAACTGTTTTGTCATACACATGGTATATGGTCTGATATCAGCATTCTGGGTTTGAGCCCTGAATGCTGATTGGCTGAGAGCCGTAGTATATTAGACCGTATACCACGGGTATGACAAAATATTTATTTTTACTACTCTAATTACATTGGTAATCAGTTTATAATATCAATAAGGCACCTCGGGGGTTTGTGGTATATGGCCAATATACCATGGCTAAGGTCTGTATCCAGGCTCTCCGCGTTGCGTCGTACTTAACCATAAGAACAGCCCTTAGCCATGGTATATTGGCCATCTTCCACAACCCCTCGGGCCTTATTGCTTAAATAACGCACATAGTATATCAGCATGGTAGAATTCAATGGCTATAGTTCATTCTTACATGTTCTATGTTTGAGCTGCTTTTGAAAGTAAAAGTTGAATTGAAAACATTGTTGGCATTGTTGAATTCGATTTTCATAATAGCAAGCTAGGACTGATGGTTTGGTTGGCTAACTTGCAAGTTTGTTTGTTTGGTTACCAAGGCAACTACTGTAGCTATCTAGTAAACTTCCTAGCTACTTCAGTGGATGTTGAACACATTTCTAGGGGAAAATGTGTTAAATTATAGCCATGGTATAAAAGGGATAACCAACTCGGGGCTCTATGCGTTCTCTGGAAAATAATGCAACTCCATGGAAGGTTAGTTCCACTCCTCTAGTGCGTCGTGGAATACACCTTCCATGGAGTTGCATTATTTTCCATAGAACGTATAGCCTTTGGTTGATTTTCCGGCCTTACATATCATTACATGTTAAATCAACCAGAACTTGAAACCCTAAACCTATGTATTGCCTATTTTTAGCTGAATCCTGGGTTGAATTGAAACAATAGCTGTTGATGAATTTGCAAATGTTATATAGACCTAAATAGCATAATTGATGATATATGAATGATAAAGAATGGTCACATTTTATTTGCTCTGTTAAACCTACCCTTTGGAATGACTTCGATAGCAACAGTAAATCTGTTTCGTTTTTAAGTGGAGATCGCTCAACAATCATTCTCACGATAGCACATTGGTAATAGTCAGTGACAAATAGCATGTCTGGGCTTGGTTAAAACCCTGGATGAGAGACCAAAGAGTTGCTGTAGATAAATCAATTGTTTTTTTTCTGTTCTGAGAGTCGATATAACTTTGAAGATCTGACGTTGTTTTAAAGGTACAATGTATTTTCCACGTAGGTTCCAGGTCACAATACATTGACAAATGACGTTGAAACAATGTTGATTCCAACCAGTTTGTGCCCAGTGGGAAGATTGTTCGAACTGTTTTATATACAAGCGGCAGCAGAGTCACCAAATATATTTATAACCAACCCAAGATAGTTAATCTGTGTCGTTTTCAATGGGAGTAAATTAAGCATAGTGGGCAGAACACTCCATACTCTCCCACTACCGGCCACTGGGCTTCCTCTCCTCACCATATTTGGTGGGGAGTGGAAATTCCAACCTGTTGCTTCAGATTTATACATCTGGTGAAACAACTGGCTCCTTGTTCTATCTGTGAAGTCACAGAGTGACAGCACTGAGAAGCAGCTGAAATGAGATAGACTAGTGGATCCCGCATGTGCAGAAATCTCCGTAGTTTTGGCAACAGCAAGTCGGGTTCCTGAAAATCCGGAACCGCAGCCACTCCGTTATGGGTCGTAGCCTATAGTATTTGTATTTTTAGGGATGTCACTTCTTGCCACTGTGGGGCAGTAATGCTTAAGGTGATGGGTCAGGTCATAGGTTAGGTTAGGTTAGTTATAAAGGATGACGAAGATGCACAAAGTAAATCGTAATAGTGGGTACATTTCCGTAACAACAAAGAGCATTAAACGGCTTAAAAGATACGTTAGATTTTTTACAACCAAATCTCTATTTTTGATGTAAATGCCATTTACAGGGTCCAGACACCTTTTTTGTGATTTCACTTGTTTTTGAGAAACTTACCCCAAACAGTGAATCATCCTTTTAGAGACGGCAAGGCTCTCAGTATAGTGATGCAGCTTTTTAGATGTTGTACACATGAAATTGTCATTCCGAACTTTATTCGCAATGTTATATTTCATTTTGTGTGACTCAAGCAGTTTTCCCCTACACAGCTGTGCAGGCCGGTGTGTCCATATAGTATACAGACATTATTCATAATTTTAACTTTATTTTAGTTCGTTTTTGGAGTCAAAGATAATAGTTTCAGTATAGTTTTAGTTTTTCAAACGGGTTTGTTAATTACTTTATTTCAGTTTACTAAATTGTTTTTTCATGATTCGTTTTCGGTTTCATTTTTCGTTTACTATAATAACCTTATAGGAAGGTTACTATGGGTGTGAAATGTATCAGGAGATGTGTATATTTAGCATTTGTACAATTATTTTGATGTTATATGAAAGTAGAGGGCATATGTTTCTAGAACCGTATCACAATTGTGAATCGATTCACGCTTAGATCGAGTAGGCCTATTTGGCTGTTTTGACTGACAAATCCTTCATCCTTCATTGACTCCCTGTCAAAATAAAGGTGAAATAAATTGATTCAGTTAGTTGGAAGTGGTCCCTTGAACGTATAGATGGCTGGTGTGATCAAATGTAAACCATTCACATCACCTAGCATTCAGCATCTCCACATAGTATTCATAATTCAATGGATAAATTGCCCGCTTAAAAATACCATGCAAGGCAATACACAGAGCATGAGCATGCACGGTAATTGCAGACACCAAAGTATTCTGTATTTTTCTGCGTTGAGTAAGCAAGCTTGAAGCTTGGCTAGTAGCAAATCCCATTATCCTGTTTCTGCCACATGCTTTCCTGACTGAGATCAGAGAGGCACCCCTCCCTACCTCTGTCCTCAACCATCACATGCAACACCAAGCCAAGCCTGCATGGATGCACATGGACACACAGCCTCACTTGTCTTGGAACCTAGAATGTACTAAAGTAACCCTAATACACATGATCTATTGTGTTTTTGATGGCTGACTTTTGCATAGGCCTAGCACTCCCATACATAGGCCTCAAACTTTGTTTTGTTGTCACTGCCAGAGCTTCAGTGTTCCCTGCCTTGTGATCTCATTACTGCATGTACAGGGGGGGTGTTGCTAAAAAAGACTTGGTTAAGCCAATTAGAAGGAAGGTTACTAATCCTGTTCTCAGATTCCCAGCCTGTTGGGAGGAAGTGAGCACAACCCTTACCAGCCTACAGGCAATGGCCTCTGATATAATGGCTCTTCCTTTACTGTACATTGAAATGGAAATAGTTATTACACTAAATGGGAAATCTGACATGGATCTTAAATAGCTCAGTAGCACAAATACCTGTTGTGCAAGGCTGAGCGGGATCTCAGGTTCTGTCACAAGCCCCCATGGAAACCATTGCCAAGAGCTAGATGTGCTTTTAGCATTTTTATAAATAACACCTGCCCACAAGTTATGAATACAGGCCTCATATCTTCATGCAATGACCTCAGACAAGAGATTTGTGAATCAAACGTTGTCAAGAGTCTCTTCAGCCCCTTTTTCACATAATTGCAGCAAACAATTGTCCAGTTAACGATTCAGAATATGCAACTGGTTCAAAAGAAGCTACAAAACCTTTCACATTCAACAGCAGAGGAAACATGTTTGCAAGGAGAAGCCATCTATATGTGTGCAAAATTATAACATGAGGAAATGTAGCCAGTAAATTCCATCAATGTACATGCATACAGACAAACAGTTATAGGAGTGGCATGCATATACTGTCCCTGCACCTGAGTACAGCTATGTAGCCTACATGATCATGCCAGTGCTGACTGTCCATTTCCACACCCATTTGGTCTACCCCAGAAGTTGATGTGAGGCTGGCTACTATTGCAGAATTATAGCACTGCCTAGATTTCTCTTTAGTGAGAGAGTGTTTGTTTCCTGACAGAATTCAGTCTTTCTGACGTGAACAAGGTAGATCCAGTATGTGTTCAAGTGAAGCATCTCTCTGGGAACGAGATTAGAGGGAGTCCCCTCAAGTCCTCTGAAGTTTAGTTTGTTTCACGGATTTGAGGCAAATAACCTGTGTCAGTGTTCGGTGTGTTGGACACCTCTGGGGGAGGGGTGTATAGGATTGAGTTTTCTTTTTCTTTTCCGGACAAGAATGCTGCTCTGTTGAGATGCCATTGAGATCGTCTTGAATAACAACTATTTCAAAACCTTCCAAGTACAGTGTCTGTGTTGTCCTCATAAGTAAAACATTTTTTCTGTAAAGGTTGTTTGATTATTGCTCACATTTCATGTGTTTACTTTCTTTCTCAGACCCATAACCTGAGATGACAGGGAGTTTGTAGCAGGACAGTCTCACTGAAAAATCTACCAATAACACAAGGGAGGGAAGCCTGACATTATCATTTAAAAATGGAATCATTTCAAAATCCTTACGGGTCCACGCTCAACCGCAGCCAATCGCTGATGAGTGGCCTGGAGAAGACCCCTCCCACGTGCAACAAGCCCACCCACTCTCGGAGCAGTAGCACTGCCTCCTCCCGTCACTCCCGGGTGAGTATGTTTCTTCCACCAAGAGAGAGTCACAATGACAAAGAATCAACATCAACACATTCAATAAACAATCAACACATTCACAGTCACTGAACAAATTAAATTCTATATGTAGGCCCATTCTGCACTTGTTTAAATATCAGATATCCAAACAAAACATCAAACTGGATGTTAACATCTCACAAATAACAAGACTGTCTCTAGATGGTTGTTGATGTGTCTGTTATGGTGTTGTCTCACCATCAGAACATTAAAGATTGGGAGGTGATGGATGACCTTCAGGTGGACATGACGTCAGGTGACAACCCCCAGGACCTGACCACCCCAGGCATCTGTGAAGGATACCTCCTCAAGAGGAGAAAATGGCCCCTGAAAGGCTGGCACAAGGTCAGGAAACTGTCCATTCATCCAATCCATCACTGTGTTGTTTGGTCACTATTTTGGAAATTAGTTCATTTTTGCCTTAAGTCATGTGTTTTTTATTCTACTTTCAGAGGTACTTTGTGTTGGAAACAGGGATCTTGCGATATTCCAAAACCCAACAAGATGTAGGTGCACATTCCCTTTACTATGTATTTTAGTTAAATTATGAAAACCTCACCATTAATAATGGAAAGCACTTATTTTTTATTTTAAAGATCACAAGGGGAAAGCTCCATGGTTCATTAGATGTCAGCCTTGCGGTCATGTCAATCAACAAGAAATCCAATCGTATCGATTTGGATGCAGGAGACATTCTATATCACATGAAGGTATGCCCCGTCCCTTTCACTTTATTTTAGCTTGTTGACTACGCTACATACATTATGATTAAATAACTTAATAAACTAAATTGAGTATTGTTCAGGGTTGAATTGAAGAACAGTTGAGTTGGATTATCTTTCTGGGATTACTTTTAGAAGCCTGTAGTAATTCAAATGAACTTGGTGCCACTCTTCCTGTTCTTTCGTCTCCTAGGCCAAGAGTCATGACCTGTTCTACATCTGGGTGACCAAGCTGAGTGCCCACCGCATGTTCAAGAAGAGCGAGGCTGCTCAAGTGCACAATGGCTTCCTCCAGGCCTTGTCCCAGGGCACCAGTGTGGCTGGACTAGCACAGAGGAACGGCATGCAGGACGTGGTAAATTCTCTTTGTAGAGGTCCAGTCTCTATTGGTAATGATGGTGGTTCATAGTCTTGTATTGACTCTCTCTCTTCTCTGTCTGTCTGTGTCTGTTTCTCTGTCCGTCTGTCCGTCTGTGTCTCTTTCTCTCTCTCTCTCCTCTCTCTCTCTCTCTCTCTCTCCTCTCTCTCTCTCTCTCTCTCTCTCTTCTCTCTCTCTCTCTCTCATCTCTCGCTCTCTTCTCTCTCTCTCTCTCTCTCTCTCTCTCTCTCTCTCTCTCTCTCTCTCTCTCTCTCTCTCTCTCTCTCTCTCTCTCCTCTCTCTCTCTCTCTCTCTCTCTCTCTCTCTCTCTCTCTCTCTCTCTCTCTCTCTCTCTCTCGTCCGTATACCAGTCTTCCTACCAACACTACCAAAGCACTACAGGCTCTTACATTGGTGAGATAGCTGCACCAACACAGTCAGAGTTTCCCTCGGTCAATCCTGGGGTAAATGGGAAGGTGTCAGCCTGGTTACAACAGACTCATGACCCAGACAGCTGTGCTCAAGGTACTGCACTCTTATCTTGTATACAAAGTACACCCAATATGTTATAGTTTGTTAGAGCTGCCAAACTTAGAAATATATGATTTTTTTGTACTCATGCAAACAGTATCTCTAGCTCCTAATTCTCATGAATGGTACTTCATGGACGACCATGGTTAGGAAATTTACAAGTGTTTTTCTCTAGGTCTTAACTCCCCAGTAGAACTGTTCTGGGACCTGCCCTAACAGTCTCTGAATTGTTTTTGCAGAGCTGAACCGTTGTCAGTTGGACCTGTCTGAGCTGAACCGGCTGGTCCAGAGGCTGCAGTCACTGGAGGGGGGGCAGCTGGCCTTCCCCAACGGAGAGCTGCAGCGCATCATCAGCATGCAGGTGAGATGGAGCAACACTACGGCCCAGTTCCAAACCAACCCTTCCTAGGATAGGTTTAGCAATGTGGTAATGGTTCCACCCCAGCCATCTCATAGGCTAGGATCAAATATCAACACTTATCCAGTTGTTTCATGACTACACATTTTCCCAGGGGCTAGGGGTGACTTTGGAACTGGGCATACCAGTGAGTTGCAGGACAAGGGTGTGAGACATGCTTGAATTTAGTAATGTAATGAGACAACTGGCTCATCCCACTGGGCAAAAACTGGTTGAATCAACGTTATTTCCACGCCAGTTCAAACAAAACTTTCAATGTGATGACGTTGAATCAATGTAGAAAACGTAAGGGAATTTCATATTTCTTTCCCACCCAACTTTACTAAATCCAATGACAGGGTGACATTTTGGGTTGATTTCACATTTAATTCACATCTGTGCCCAGTGTGATGTCGGTTCAGTGATTTAAGAGTCTTTTTTTAATTCCACCAAGAATCTCTCACTTGAGAAACCCAAGAAGTCCAGGTCTGGCAAGATATGGGGTCACTCACGCACAATGTCAAGAGTGGAGGCCCTCGGAATGGTAAGACAGGTTTGTAACATATAAATCATTTGGTTTTAGCTGTGGTTCTTAGATCAAATGTGGAGGTGATTTAGGAAAACTTTAGACTGACCTTTTAGTTTTGACTTATGGATATTGTTCCAGTGAATTTTCCAATGGATTTGGTACTAATGTTCAGATATTTTTAAATCCCCAAAATCCTGAAAATCCTAAAGGTGATTGTGTACCACTAAACAACCTGTTATGAATACAATGTGTTGGGTTTGTGTATTAGCCAACCCAATCCCCTGATAACTTTTAGGCTTCTTTTTAATCCAAAGCCTTTTCGTGGGATTACTAAATCGGTGAGTCAAGACTAGGACACTAGGCAGACTGCCAAAGCATGGAACTACTAGTCCTAATTTAGCTCTTCCATGTTGTCCAGACAGTCATATATAGACAAAGGGGTACATTTGTTTACAATGGAAAGTAACATCAAATCAGATGTAACTTCAGGGACAGAGTAAAGCAACCATTTACAGTAAAAACTGAAGTTGTAGCAGTGATAAAAGTTTGAGAAATAAGACATATTTGTTTTGGTTAAAACCTTGTAGGACATATATGCTCCTAGAACTTGACGCTAGCTTTTAGCATTCCATAGTAGCTACATTGCATGGCTTGTACACAGCTTTCCTTAATTGTCCTTCTACATTAAAACATATTTGACATCTCACTAATGTTGGGAATCAGTGACTAACAAATACTGTAGAAAATGGTTGTTCTGTTTGTTCTACTTGTTCATTCTCCATCGTTCCTCCATTTTGTAGCTGTCCTCTAGTCACCTGAACAGCTCTTCCCACATGGGTGCGTCTGTCCCCTCCCTCCCAGACTATGTACCCTCCATCCCAGACTACGTCTGCTCCCAGCTGTCCCCTCCCACCAATACCTCCCCTGAAGGCAAGAAGATCCAGCAGGACATCTGTATCATGTCCCAAAGAGGTCAGAGCCAAACACACACACACACACTTTGCCTTCCGGTGTTGTTGTAACTACTGATGCTAAATGTGAATTTCTTGATTTTCTTGTCCCTGTCAGTGCACATGTCCCTCAAGTCTGTGCATGAGGCCTTGGCCCAGGAGCGTCAGAGACTGCAGGACACTTACCACCAATCAACCACACTGGCTGAGGTGAGAGTATACACCTTCATGGAGACAGGCTTGGTTTACAATAGACCTATGAGTGCTTTTCCTCACTGATTCTGTCTGTTTTGCGGTCTTTCTCATGGTGTGTATTGTTCGTCACTCTTCCCCTCTCTTTAGACTGCATCTGGGAACCAGTCCCGCCGCACGCCCTCAGTGACAGACTCTGCAGCAGAGTATTTTGATGCGAGTGACGACGTCCTGAATGGGAGCTCCTCTGAGTCTGACGAGTCTGGTCTGAGCGACAGGACCTCCAGCAACTCTGAACCTGAGGAGGGCCATGGTGAGCGTGAACACAATTGGCCCAGTGTCGTCCGAGTTAGGGGAGGGTTTGGCCGGGGGGGCATGACTTGGGTCATCGCGCTCTAGCGACTCCTTGTGGTGGGCCGGGCGCCTACAGGCTGACTTGGTCGTCAGTTGAACAGTGTTTCCTCCGACACATGGGTGCAGCTGGCTTCAGGATTAAGCGAGTGGGTGTTAAGAAGCGCGGCTTGGCGGGTCATGTTTCGGAGGACGCATGACTCGACCTTCGCCTCTCCTGAGCCCGTTGGGGAGTTGCAGCGATGAGACAAGATCGTAATCACAAAATTGGGGAGAAAAAGGGGGTAAGAATTAAAAAACATTTTGTTTTTCAATGTATTGAAACCTTTAAATCTCTTCCCCCCAGCTTCGGCCACTCGTGAGTACCGTGCCAGCATCTCTAAGGCTCCCAACAGCGTCGTGCCCAAGAACACCGGCCGCCGTACCACGCTGCCTGCCCACTGCCCAGAGAACGCCCATGTGGGCCTGATGCAGATCCTCTACAACAATATAGGCAAGGACCTGTCCCGTGTCTCCATGCCTGCTGCTCTCAACGAGCCCATCAACCTGATACAAAGACTGTGCGAGGAGCTGGAGTACTCCGAGCTGCTGGACACTGCCAACAACACACAGGACCCCTACCAGAGGATGGTAAGGATTTTTAAAGATACATGAATGTATATGTCTTCAATATTTGGTAAAGCAAAGGATGTACTGCTTTTAGATAGACCTTAAAGACGCTGAATGGGAAAGTGCTCAAAGTAGCAGCATTTGGTCACATCAATAAACTATGATAAAGATTTTCCATTCTGTCAAAGGTATATGCTAGAATACAGTATACATTGAGCCTCAGGATTTAAACGGAACCATGACATCTACTGTATGTTAGTGATTTACAGTAGGTTAGATTAGAAGACTGAAGGTGTTTCTCTGTTCTTGTGCAGGTCTACATTGGTGCCTTTGCTATCTCTGGTTATGCTACAGCTCACTACCGCAACCGCTACAAGCCCTTTAATCCACTCCTGGGGGAGACCTATGAATGTCTGAGAGAGGACAAGGGCTTCCGCTACATCAGTGAGCAGGTAGGAGGACTGAACCTTCTCTGACATCCCTCAGCAGAACTGAAGAGTGACCAGGTCAGACTAGTTCTATCAGATTCAGATTAAACCATTCTTGTCTTTCATCAGGTTTGCCACCATCCCCCCATCTCTGCATGTCACGCAGACTCAGATAACTTCTCCTTGTGGCAGGGTGAGCTTTTCTGATTATAAATTAGCAAAACCTTGATTCTAGTCAGCTAGCGATAAGCAAGTGTCTTAACATTTGTTTTGAACCATTTTTGTAACTATACTATCTGACATTTGTATCAATAATGTTTCTCATTGAACACAACATATTTATGTCACCTGAACAGACCAGCGGTGGAAGAATAAGTTCTGGGGAAAGTCACTGGAGATCATGCCAACAGGGATCGTGAACGTCACTCTCCCAAGGTAAGTGCTGGTCCTGGTGGCCATTTCTTTACTATCTGCTCTCTCAAGCTGTTAGAAATGAAAATGTAAAACGCTCTACCTTCAATCATTCTTTCAGGTTTGGGGACCACTATGAGTGGAACAAAGTGGTGACTTGTGTCCATAATGTCCTGAGCCAGCAGCGCTACCTGGAGCACTATGGGGAGGTTATCATCCGTAACCTCAACAGCAACGCATGCACTTGTAAGATCACCTTCGTCAAGTCCCGCTATTGGGGGTCAGACACCAACAAGAATGAGGTGCAGGGCATTGTGCTGGACCAGACTGGGAGTGTTATCCACCGGTTTGGGGGGTTGTGGCATGAGGGCATCTTCTGTGATACTTTTCCCACTCCGCAGTGTATCTGGAAGCCAAGTGAGTATCCCACCCACACAAGGAAAACACTCAATGAGAGTTTAAAACAGAATTCTTGTATCAGTAGCCTTCAAACCCTAAGGGCTCTATTTCTCCTGTAAAGAACATTGGACTCATTATGTGCGATGCCCATTGAATAACACATGTTAGTATGTAGGAAGCCTATTTAGAAAGACCAAATGTACAGTTTTGTCACACAACACAATGCCACAGATGTCTCAAGTTTTGAGGGTGTGTGTAAATGTTATGCTGACTGCAGGAATGTCCACCAGAGCTGTTATAAGCCGCCTCCAACATCGTTTTAGAGAATTTGGCAGTACGTCCAACCAGCCTCACAACCACAGACCACGTGTAACCATGCCAGCCCAGGACCTCCACATCCGGCTTCTTCACCTGCGGGATGGTCTGAGACGAGCCACCCAGACAGCTGATGAAACTGTGGGTTTGCACAACTGAAGAAACTGTCTCAGGGAAGCTCATCTGCGTGCTCGCCGTCCTCACCAGGGTCTTGACCTGACTGCAGTTTGGCGTCGTAACCGACCTCAGTGGGAAAACGTTCACCTTCGATGGCCACTGGCATGCTGGAGAAGTGTGCTCTTCACGAATGAATCCCGGGTTTCAACTGTACCGGGAAGATGACAGACAGCGTGTGTGGCATCATGTGGGCGAGCGGTGGGGTTATGGTATGGGCAGGCATAACCTACGGACAACGAACACAATTGCATTTTAACAATGGCAATTTGAATGCACAGAGATACCGTGACGTGATCCTGAGGCCCATTGTCATGCCATTCATCCACCGCCATCACCTCATGTTTCAGCATGATAATGCACAGCCCCATATATCACAAGGATCTGTACATAATTCCTGGAAGCTAAAAATGTCCCAGTTCTTCCATGGCCTGCATACTCACCAGACATGTCAACCATTGAGCATGTTTGGGATGCTCTTGATCGCGTGTACGACAACGTGTTCCAATTCCCGCCAATATCCAGCAACTTCACACAGCCATTGAAGAGGAGTAGGACAACATTCCACAGGCCACAATCAACAGCCTGATCAACTCTATGTGAAGGAGGTGTGTCGCGCTGCATTAGGCAAATGGTGGTCATACCAGATACTGACTGGTTTTCTGATCCCACCTTTTTTTTAAGGTATCTGTGACCAACAGATGCATATCTATATTCCCAGTCATGTGAAATCCATAGAGTAGGGCCTAATGAATTCATTTCAATTGACTGATTTCCTTATATGAACTGTAACTCAGTAAAATCTTTGAAATTGTTGCATGATGCATTTATATTTTTGTTCAGTGTACATCTAGCTACATGATGTTGAACTTCCATCCTCTCAGGCCAGGGGCACAATGTATGAATTTATGGTTAGATCAGAATCTACGTTATAATCATTGGCCAGTACGGAGAATTAAGTAAAACCACAAGTCCAAATCCCTATGTCCATCCATGGCTAATTTAAGACATTTCAGAATTTAGCTAGCTAGCTAGCCACCGAAGGACAACGAGATGCAACAATTGAAGTTTTTTTCTGTTAATGACGTTTGGCTTTTGATGTGATTGGTCTTAAGCCAAATCCAAACTGGCTTCCCTTGACACTTTTTTTGGGTGTGCCAGGACCATTCACAGCTGAGCTCACTCAGTTTAGCTCAACACTGATTGGCTATTATTATTATTTATTTTTATATCAAAGTAGGCCAAATGCTTGCTGGCTTCCCTTGCATTCATTGCTATGGGCGGCAACAATGTCATACTCTTTTTGACCAGACATCATCAGATAGATACGCTACACATACAGAGACAGAGGGGCGCTGTTTCGCTCACTCGGATGCCTTCTCTGGTGAGAAACATTCAGCCTCTTGCATATTGAAGGAAAATTATGAAACACAGAGAGAAGAAAGATACATTATTTTGTGTGTTTTTTTCTTGGTAAATGTTTTGGGCAAGCCTGGCTCCCCTTGGCATCCATGAATACACACCACTAGTTAAGGTGGAGCCCTAAAGGTTTTTTAGGACAGTTTCTCATGGTTAGTGGTATGCTAACTAAAGACATTATGGTTTGAGGCTGTGGTTACATTACCTCATTACTGTAGCTCATCGCAGTGGCTTCTTTCACCGTGCAGATCCCCAGCCCAACGACCACTACCTGTACTACGGCTTTTCCAACTTCGCACTGGAGCTGAATGAGCTTACCCCAGGCTTGAAGCCTCTTCTGCCCCCCACAGACTCACGCCTTCGCCCTGACCAGAGGTGAGTGGTGCCTCAATGGGCCGTGGAGGGCTTGATTAGGACAGGAAAACCACCATTGTACAAATCACGTTTTTATATTGATAGGATGTTCAATTTTTGAACCAGGAAAAGCTCAGGGCCTTACTCGTAGATATGATGTGATGGGTTTGATGAATTGGAGCGTTTTTTATGAGGTTTTTCTCTTCCTCAGGATGCTGGAGGATGGGAGGGTGGATGATTGTGATACGTTTAAAGAAGAAGTGGAGGACAAGCAGAGGGAGCGGAGGAAACAACTGGCTAAGAAAGGACAGGAGCACAAGCCACGCTTCTTCAAGTAAGTGCCTGCCCTTTTTAGTATTCAGTGATACTGAAGCAATACAAATCAGTGTGTCGTCTTATATCTAGGATAATACTTTAACAAAAAATACTTAAAGGTATGCTTTCAGTAATTTACATTTTCTGTTAATTTTCCATATTCAGGAAAGCCATGGATTCCTCTGGGAGGGAAGTGTGGCTGACCAACGGAACCTATTGGAAATTCAGAGAGAACCCAGGGTTTGCTAACACAAACAACCTGGAACTATGGTGAATAAACGCACAGACTGGGGCCATTTGGTGGCCCGAGAGAATCGAATTACAAGAATGGCCCAAGTCTGTATTGAAACCCAGAGGATACGTGGTGGGAATTGATGAAGGCATGGATGAACTGTCCTGAGAAGCCCACCTTCTATCATCACCATCTGATTATACACTCCTAGGACACAGAAAACTTCCAGGAAAGTCTGGAAACTACTTGGATCCAATGAACAGTCAACAGTGAACAGTCAAGTTGAAAATAGTTCCCAGAATTCCCTGAATGTGTAGCACAGGACTGCCCAACCCTGTTCCTGGAGAGCTACCGTCATGTAGGTTTTTGCTCCAACCCTAATCTAGCACACCTGATTCTAATAATTAGCAGGTTGATAAGCTGAATCAGGTTAGTAACAGCTGGGGTTGGAGTGAAAACCTACAGGAGGGTTGCTCTCCAGGAACAGGGTTGGGCAGTCCTGGTGTAGCATCACCTGTTCCATCACGTGAGAAGGATAAAGACAGACCATTGTCATTTTTCTAATTAATTTCTACCAGTACTTGTATTTAGTCCATTGCAATGTAGTTATGATCATTCTCCATTGTTTGTGTACATTTATGTTCTTCTATCAAGATGCATTTGCTTTCCAGAGCAGTGTTTCCAAACTCCAGTCCTCGAATACCCCAACAATACACATTTCTGTTGTAGCCCTGGACAAGCACACCTGACTCAATTTGTCAACTAATCATCAAGCCCTCAATGAGTTGAATCAGGTGAGTTAGTCTGGGGCAACAACAAAAATGTGTGCTGTTGGGGGTACCGGAGGACTCAAGTTGAGAAACACTGTCTAGGGGTGGAAGTGTGAGGTTAATTTGCTCAGCTCAAGAAAATATTTACTGTGGACTAATCTTCAGAGATTGTATATTTTGAAAAATTTGTATTTTATACTGTCTGGGCTAAATCCTAACTCGATCTTTGTGCTTCATCGCTCAACATTTTCACACAAATCTCCCAAAGAAATCTATGCATGATTCTTAGTTACGTGAGTGGATCTTAAGTTAAGATTCGGCCCTTTATGAATTATTGTTGAATCATATTTATTTAAGTGGCACTAGTGTATTAAATACCCCTCTTTTACATTTTAGTAAGTCAAACAATTTGACATGGGAATATAACCTATAACCTGTCTCTCTATGTCATCTAGCTTGCACATAAATTACTTTTTATAATGTACGTGTTGTATTTTTGATTTGTGATTTTAGTTAACACTAATAATGCTATTACTTGTGATGATTAAATACATTGCTCATGAAAGGGGTTACCAAGGCAAAACTGTGGGAACTGAATGTACTATATTCATCAGCATAATTAATCTGCTTTAAGGTACCTTTTATAATGATGAATTATGAGTATAATCAAATTATAATCAAACTAGACTTAATATCAACATGTGTAATTTACAGTACAATAGATATATGGGTATTATTCTATTAATAACCTTGAGGTCAATAGTTTTTATTTACATTAAATGTCAAACCAAACAGTTGTGAATTAAGATGATTAAACTTTAATTCATGAATAAAAAACAACAGTACAATACACACGTAAGCCACCTTTAATAAATAACATTTTTTTCCTCTGTTTTCTGCCATTCAAGTCTTTATTACATTAGAATAAATCAAATACAATATTTCAAATGCTTAATTTAGTACAGTTACATTTCTCTACTCCATTCCTGAATCATCTGAGTCTGTACCCCTTTCCAGCCTCCTCGGACCGATTTAGTTAATGATTTATACACCTTTATAAAACGTAAGGATAATTCATTTCACAGAATGGAAGGCAAGGTGCCCTACTCCAAGACAAACAGTGCACATTAAACACAAATGAACATGCTTCACTATCCAATGTTGAATGGAGAATTTGACCTTTCAAGTCGACCCCTTCTTCTCTGTCTTTTAAAGTCATCATGACTTCTGTACACTATAGCATCCCAGGGGACTACATTTCCCATCACACGTTTATTCTAATATAGGGGACATGAATGTTAAAGGATGGCAAAGAATCATGGGTTATGGAGTGTTTATGGAAGATTTCTATTGTCAGGAGTTGGGTTTGTTTTGCTCATTGTAAGGAGTGAGATATCCACTAGGTGGCAGTCCTGAGGAGTCCATACCACACACACAGACAGACTTCTCTATTTCCCCCAACAGTGACACTCACTAGCAGTCATGTTAGTGCAGGTTCAGTGCCAGTGTAACATACAAAATAATGTAATGCAAGATACAGAGTAAAATGTCAGCACATTTTCATAGCATTTGATCAAACCAACGTTTTTCAATTGCTCTTGCCATATTGAAGACCTTATAAATAAAAAATCTATTCACATCTCAATTAATTGCACTTAAATTACGCAAATAACTCTCCACCTCTTAACAAATAACTGTAATTATGAAGTTAAGATATATTAAGAAACCTTGTCCCTTTTTCGTTCATTTAAACTGCTTAAGGGTAAAACAAAAATGTTCAGGAAGCAATATCATATTTTTGTACAGTGTCCAGCATAAGATTCTACATAAGAAAACATCTAGCTTGACTTTTCAAGTTCCAGTTTATTCCCTTTCCCAATGTCATGTAACAGACATTTACTGTGCTTCAGCATTATTGCATTATGATGGTGTCACAGCAGTCAAGATTATGCTAAGTTCCGTTTAGGGAAGGATGTCTTTCTGTTTACAAACAGATTTAATATAGAGAGTTCTGCAATTCCACAGACCTGATTGTCTTTTCCATCCTATTGCTCTAGTTTTTGTCAGATTATCACTGATTTCTTCCACCTTCAATTGGGAAAAGGCAGTTTAGCCTGAAACAAATGGCAGAATTTCCTTTTGAAAGTTGGCACCTATACAAGTCATGAATGAAAAATATAAAAACACTTTGATGAGGTCAACAAAATTAACATCTAGTATACTGTTTATGTATGTTTTTTTTAATACAATTCTATCTTATCATATTTTCATGGTTGGCCTGTCACTCAGCAAGTGCTAATTATACCATGTCTGTCCTCTGACTGTACTCTGTGCATCATATACTGTAATCATATACTTTAGCAATAGAAGTGTGATAAATAATGAGGTCTTGCCTTGATTACATTCCTGTCTCATTTCTGATAGCCTTGCAATTGGAGCACACAAACCCAGCAATACGTGGTTTAAGACCACCAGTATCCCAGGGTCCTCTGAGTGAGTGGCTGCCTGTCACCCAATAGTTGTTGGTGGTCATTAGCACCTTGTGAAGGCCAGGGCTCTGACCAGCTCAGACTGGAGGCTCTCTCTCTCTCTTTCTCTCTATAGATCTCTGTCACCTTGCCAGGAAGCTACTCCTTTGTCACGACATGATGAACCTAACGTCTGGAGGTGGACATGGTCTGTCAGGTCACCCTAACCAAGCCTGGGAGAGACAATACATAGGCTACATGTACCCTGTCTGTTTGGCTCTCTCTTAGCCCTAGGATACATATTTGCCTGGTATCGGGGTGGGTTGAAATGGAGAAGCACTATGTTGGGCAACAGAGGTCATCAAATCCAAGAAATAAATACAAATATGACCCTATATTACCATTACCCTGTGTAGACCATATAATGGGCTTTTGTCATTATGATTGTGTGTGTGTGTTTGTGTGTGTCATTACCAACCCTCTGTTGGTAAAGATTTCCAGTGTGTGTTGTCTGAGTGGACCCCGTTTTAATGCAGTTATTGATTGTGGTCTTTATTTGTGTGGTGACGGGGGCACTTTCAGATTGATTTCATCACACAGAGGGCGACCTCTGTTACAGTGAAACCGTCAAAAACTTTTACCCTGTAATACCGAACGCAGTTCCCTGAAATGGTCTGGGATGGAAGCCTGAGAGGAAATTCACCCAACGATTTAGGTGCCCTTTCTGCGTTTACAAATTCTAACGAATCGCTATTGTAGTTGCCTCAGCGTGTCTGTGAGATATGTTGAATTCCATTGTGTTGTGTGTCTTTGGAGTTTGGACTCCTATTGGATGCTAAGGCTGTGTTGTTCTAAATGACAGACCTGATGTAGGCTACATTAGACCAGAGGAAGACTGGCCCATCAAGCCTGAGGCTGATTAGCGTTGACACTTCAGACCAAGATCGCTAAGCTACCCTCACATCTAACAACTGACACTGGCCTCTGCTCTCAGCTGCATGCTCACCCTCAGCTTGCAGTTTTTCACTGTTGTCACAAGGGGGAGATGCAATCTCCTCAGACAGTAGAGGATAAGCCAGAAATTATTCTATTATGTTATTAACATGCAACCAGTCTTGTCTGCATCTTCGTAGCTCAGTTGGTAGAGCATGGCGCTTCGTTTCCCACGGGGGGCCAGTATGAAAATGTATGCACTCACTAACTGTAAGTGGCTCTGGATAAAAGCGTCTGCTAAATGACTAAAATGTAAATTGGGGCACGTGATTGTGATCATATACTAACAGAGTTGGAGAATAGAGAAATGTCTGTGTGTGTGAGAGAGAGAGAGAGTGTGTCAGCGATTGTGTGTGTGTATGACGGGGGAAGACCGGACAGGCCCTGCAGGGGTCTGTCAGCAGGTGTGCAGACGTCTTCTTTTTTAATCCCCAAACGTTAGAAAGACTTAAGTCACAGGTCTGCGTGTCGGTGTGTCTACGTGTCTCTAGGGCAGTGTCAGTGGACCCAGTCAAATCGCCTTGGCTCTTTGGCCCTCACACACTTTGACAGTCACCTTCAACGTGTTAGTGTCTGTCCTCAAAGGGTCCTTGTTCTCAAACGTAACCAACACACAAAGAGAGGGCCTTACGAGTAGAGTAGCCTCCCTTTTGTAGAGAGGTCCAGTCTATTTGTAAAGTATATATATACACTACCAGTCAAAGGTTTGGACACACCTACTCATTCCAGGGTTTTTCTTTATTTTTACTATTTTCTATATGTAACACCCAATTCCCCTGTTTGAAAAAGTAATTGCCACCTTACACTCAATAACTGGTTGTGCCACCTTTAGCTGCAATGACTCCAACCAAATGCTTCCTGTAGTTGTTGATCAGTCTCTCACGTCGCTGTGGAGGAATTTTGGCCCACTCTTCCATGCAGAACTGCTTTAACTCAGTGCCGTGTGGGTTTTCAAGCATGAACTGCTCGTATCAAGTCCTGCCACAACATCTCAATTAGGATTAGGTCTGGACTTTGACTAGGCCATTCCAAAACTTCCAATTTGTTGCTTTTTAGCAATTTTCATGTAGACTTGATTGTGTGTTTTGGATCATTGTCTTGCTGCATGACCCAGCTGCGCATCAGCTTCAGCTCACAGACCACCACCATGCTTGACCTTTGGTATGATGTTCCTACTGTGGAATGCAGTGTTTGGTTTTCGCCAGGCATAATGGGACCCATCTCGTCCAAAAAGTTGACTCAAGTTTGCCAAAAAGCACCTGGATGATCATCAAGACTCTTGGAAGAACGTTCTATGGACAGATGATTCAAAAGTATACCTTTTTGGACGACATGGTTCCAGTAATGCCTGGCGAAAACCAAACTCTGCATTCCACAGTAAGAACATCATACCAAAGGTCAAGCAGGGTGGTGGTGGTGTGATGGTTTGGGGATGCTTTGCTGCCTCAGGACGCGAACGACTTGCCTTAATAGAAGGAACCATGAATTCTGCTCTGTATCAGAGAATTCTACAGGAGAATGTCAGACCATCCGTCTGTGAGCTGAAGCTGAAGCGCAACTGGGTCATGCAGCAAGACAATGATCCAAAACACACAATCAAGTCTACATGAAAATTGCTAAAAAGCAACAAATTGGAAGTTTTGGAATGGCCTAGTCAAAGTCCAGACCTAATCCCAATATAGATGTTGTGGCAGGACATGAAACGAGCAGTTCATGCTTGAAAACCCACACGGCACTGAGTTAAAGCAGTTCTGCATGGAAGAGTGGGCCAAAATTCCTCCACAGTGACGTGAGAGACTGATCAACAACTACAGGAAGCATTTGGTTGGAGTCATTGCAGCTAAAGGTGGCACAACCAGTTATTGAGTGTAAGGGGGCAATTACTTTTTCACACACGGGAATTGGGTGTTGCATAACTTTGTTTATGAAATAAATATGTAATTGTTGTGTTATTTGTTCACTTATGTTCCCTTTATCTAATATTAGCTTTTGGTTGAAGATCTGATAACATTCAGTATCACAAATATGCAAAAGTAGAGAAAATTAGAAAGGGGGCAAATACTTTTTCATAGCACTGTATGTGTGAAAACAGCTGAGGTACAAGATATCTGTCTTGTCTTCACCCTTTTGTTATGTTGGACTTCCGTAGCCAATTGAGCTTCAGTCCAGCGCCTTTACATGACTTCATTGGACAGGCAGAGACACACGGCCATGTGGGAGATACCAAAGTACAAAGAGGATGGGGTAGGATACTAGGAGAGCGTATTTACGTGGTGGGTGTAAAAGCCGTAGTAGCCGGCATCACTACAGCTGTCCTTTTCACAGACCTCTGCACTGCGGGTGGATGGCGAGTTCTCCGTGCTAGAGGCGTAGGGCGACACTCGCCGCTTCTTGCTCTCCGCCCCGCTCTCGAACAAGCCGGAGTCGGCCGAGTCCACCGATTTGACTGAGGGGGGTTCCAGCCACAGGTCCTCTCCCCCCGCCTCTTTGGGCTTGTCCTGTAGCGGGGGTGGGGGGCGGAGCGGCTCCAGCAGGGATGGGGGGTGGAGCCTGTGGTGACCTGAAGAGGAAGAGGAGGAGTTGGTAGAGGACATGGGCCTGAACCAGCCTAGACTGGGGCCGGCTTTACCAGGGTGGGGGTGGTTGAGGTACTGAGGGGAGGGCCGGCCGGCGCTCCAGGCCGCCGAGGAGGCTCCCGAGACGGATACGCTGGCAGAGGCGAAGGGGCTGTCCTCGTAGTAGCCCAGTGCGTGTTGGGCCGACGTCTGCAGGGGGAAGGGCTTGTAGAAGCTGTTGCTGGAGAAGTCGCCCTCGTATGTGTTGAAGTCCAGCCGGTTGGAGGTGACACTCTGCTGGGGGGAGAGGTACCAGCGGCTGTGGGGGCTGGCTGAGGGGTCTTTGGACTGCTGGCCCATGGCTGCCATGTGCTCCCGGCTGTAGAATCGGCTCTGAGGCAGGGGGTTCATGTACTGGTCCGTCAGGTACCCCTGGGTGTAGCAGGACCCCACCAAGAGCTGCTGGCCCTCGGTGGGGGAAGGGGTGAGGCGGTCTGTGTCAGGCGGTGCATACAGCCTAGGCAGGGGAACAGGGGAGGAGGCATATAACAAGAAGAGGTGTTACTTCCTGGCAAAGCCAAAAATATCTCTCAACAGGGTTCTCACGCCTCCTCATATCAACACATCTTTGTGAGATAGAAATACATAAACCTACTAGCGTTAGCAATTTTACATTAAATATTAGTTGGAGATATCTAGTGTTGATACGGTAGGACTGAGTGTGTGTGAGCACTGTGCCTCAGCGCCTGCTTGTATAGACATAGAACAGGTTTAAAAGTTCAAACGTTCTCATTCAAGACCAGAGCCCCCTCTGGAGAGCAGGGTTTTGCTTTCTCTTTATTAATTCAGTTATTTTCTAGCATACTCACGTGTCATAACTGTCCCGGAAACCTTTAGCAAAGGGGTTATGGTCTATTTTCAGCTGAGTGATCTGTGTAAGAAATAGCAGGAGACAGGATGGGAGAGGGGGCAAGGATAGGACAGACAGATCGTTGGAGAGAGAGAGAGTGAGAGCGCAGACGCATAGGAAAAAGAGAGAGAGAGAGGGAGGGAGAGAGAGAGAGATCACTGACTGCATGAAATAATTAATGAGGGTTACACACAGTTTATTTTCTTATCGTCAGAAAGACTTCTTCTTTGGCACCCTAGTGTGAGTATACTTCTATTCCTAATGAAGTTATAATTGTCTATGATAATGCTATGGAAAAGGGCATGCCCAATGAGCTGTTGAGGTCAGGTGAGGTGACTCACGTCTGCATTTTGATAGGCTGTGACAGCGATGAATTGGTTCTCCGGGAAGACGAAGGTCTGGGCCTTGGTGGTGAGAAAGGGGTCCTCAGAATCATCGTCCTTCACCTCTACGATGTGCAGCCGTGGCTGGTACTTATGGAGCGACTGCAGTACGATCATCTAGGAGGGAACAGCACTGGAGAGTTAGTTATAGAAGGGCTTTACGATCATCGTGGCCTCAGGAAGTAGTTTGGGGGTGGGGGAGCTGCGATATTCTTTGCCGACGGGGGAGGTGCTGAGAATTTTGGGTCAAAGTGGGGAGCGGGCTGGCTCCCCACTTTGTGTTGCCCACGCTACAAACGGCTATTTCTGTCCGCTAATAGAGGACTAGTAAAGGCCCAGTGCACTACATTTGTGAGAATATATATATATATATACAGAGTACCAGCCAAAAGTTTGGACACACCTACTGATTCAAGGGTTTTTCTTTATTTTTACTATTTTCTACATTGTAGAATAATAGTGAAGACATCAAAACTATGAAATAATATATATGGAATCATGTAGTAACCAAAAAAAGTCTTAAACAAATCAAAAAATATATTTTATATAGCCATTTATATTTGCCTTGATGACAGCTTTGCACACTCTTGGCATTCTCTCAACCAGCTTCACCTGGAATGCTTTTCCAACAGTCTTGAAGGAGTTCCCACATATGCTGAGCACTTGTTGGCTGCTTTTCCTTCACTCTGCGGTCCGACTCATCCCAAACCATCTCAATTTGTCGGGTGATAGTGGAGGCCAGGTCATCTGATGCAGCACTCCATCACTCTCCTTCTTGGTAAAATAGCCCTTACACAGCCTGAAGGTGTGTTGGGTCATTGTCCTGTTGAAAATTAAATGATAGTCCCACTAAGCCCAAACCAGATGGGATGGCGTATCACTGTAGAATGCAGTGGTAGCCATGCTGGTTAAGTGTGCCTTGAATTCTAAATAAATCACAGACAGTGTCACCAGCAAAGCACCCCCACACCATAACACCTCCTCCTTCATGCTTTACAGTGGGAAATACACATCCGGAGATCATCCGTTCACCCACACCGCATCTCACAAAGACACGGCGGTTGGAACAGAAAATCTCCAATTTGGACTCCAGACCAAAGGACAAATTTCCACTGGTCTAATGTCCATTGCTCGTGTTTCTTGGCCCATGCAAGTCTCTTCTTATTATTGGTGTCCTTTAGTAGTGGTTTCTTTGCAGCAATTCGACCATGAAGGCCTGATTCACACAGTCTCTTCTGATCACACAGTCTCCTCTGAACAGTTGATGTTGAGATGTGTCTGTTACTTGAACTCTGTGAAGCATTTATTTGGGCTGCAATTTCTGAGGCTGGTAACTTTAATGAACTTATCCTCTGCAGCAGAGGTACCTCTGGGTCTTCCATTCCTGTGGCGGTCCTCATGACAGCCAGTTTCATCAAAGCACTTGAAGGTTTTTGCGACTGCACTTCAAGAAACGTTCAATGTTCTTGACATTTTCCGTATTGACTGACCTTCATGTCTTAAAGTAATGATGGACTGTAATTTCTCTTTGCTTATTTGAGCTGTTCTTGCCATAATACGGACTTGGTCTTTTACCAAATAGGGAAATCTTCTGTATACCCCCCTACCTTGTCACAACACAACTGCTTGGCTGAAAAGCATTAAGAAGGAAATAAAGAAAGAAAAACCCTTGAATGGGTAGGTGTTCTAAAACTTTTTACCGGTAGTGTATATATTTTTTTTGGGTGGGGTGGGGGGGTGGGGGGGGGTGCTGTAGCACCCTCAGCACCCCTACTATGACGACCATGAAATACGTTCAAAAGCACCATCAATGGAAAATCTCATTTGGTTAAAATCTTGGTAAATATTCAAACTACTGAACAAACGTACAAACAGCAAAAAAGCAACAACAAAAAACATGAGGATTTGATGACATATTTAAATGAGTTTCTGAGCATACTGTATCTGTTACCTGTGCAACATTGTTGGAGCTGCCCTTGTTGTTGGTGAGCTTGAGCTTGCCAAATGACACCTCCTGCCTCATCCAGTGAGCCCCTGTGTTGGGAGAGTCTGGGTGCATATACATCCTGTTCCCTATGGGAAAGAGTTAGTAACAACGTTAATGAAGCCTTCATGAGCCCTTTATAAGTCTACATAAGCCTACATAAATGCTTCACAAATCATTTACAAGCAAATGCCATACTACACAATCACAGCTCCAGTTAACATCAGCACAACGCCCTACTAACCCGCTACTACATAATCATAGCTACTATGGCAATGTTACCACAACTACCACTACACTGTAATAAGTCAGGTGCCTCACAGCCACAATACCTGCTATGACACAGGTGGACCTATTTCAATGACTGCAGCGCTGTATGGGAGTTCAAATTGATGCTCTAACTCTCAAGGCTACTCTGGAGATGTTCTGTATGGACCTTATTGGGATTCATTCATTCTACCACTGTGTGTCATTGATTGGAGCTGTATGGACGACAGAGAGTGTGGTGTGGCAATATTATAAACTGGGTGGATCGAGTTCTGAATGCTGATTGGCTGAAAGCCGTGGTATATCAGGCCGTATACCACGAGTGTGACAAAACATTACTCTTTACTGTTCTAATTAAGTTGGTAACCCGTTTATCATTGCAATAAGGCACCTCGGGAGTTTGTGGTATATGGCCAATATACCACGGCTAAGGGCTGTGTCCAGGCACTTCACGTTGCGTTGTGCATAAGAACAGCCCTTAGCCATGGTATATTGGCCATATACCACACCCCCTCTGGCCTTATTGCTTAATTATAATACAATCATACCTGGCATGTTGCCCTCTGCTTTGCCACACTGGACCCACTTGCCTCCCTGGTACCTCCAGTGGTGCTGGTCAGCCAGGACCACGTCCACATACACATTGTAGTGGGCCGACGGGTCCAGAACGCTGATGTTGAAACTCAGGAAGGGGAACATCCTCCTAGAGTAGAAGAGAGGAGAAATACATCATTGTCAGATGAGAAAAGAGGGAGATCTATTTGGTTAAAATACAATAAAAGAGATGTACTGTAGTACATCCTTATAGGGCATGATTTAATTTAAAGGAAAATACCACTCAAAATGTATTTTTCGGTATTTGTTTTATTAGTCCACTGTTGATACAGTCAAAAAGGTTTTGGGACAGTTGACTAATGAAACAAATACCAAAATATAGTTTGAGTGGAATTTTCCTTTAAGTAACACAAACATGATACTGTATTGCTCTTTGCTCTTTGTAATAACCTTATAATGTGTGGTGTTATCGTTGTACTACTTTTAATCCAATGTGGGTATATACAGTGCAAACAATTGGAATACAAATAGATTAACATTTCTTGACAGCTTTACAACACTACCATCAAAATGACTCAATCTACTTCTAGCTACAAATTGTACTACAATCGGAAGCAATCCCAAGGCATCTTTGTCAGAAACAACAGCGAGCAAGATAGAGAGGGGATTTTTTAAAGCTCTGTGTGTGTTTCTTCTCTGTGCGGTTAGAGGGCTGAGAGGCAAAGTGGGGGGATAGGAGAGGGGGGCAGGGTGGTGTAGTGGAGGTGAATATTTAATATGGCTGTTAATAAAAGATGGGCCAGAAGCAGCGTCTGATTGCTGGAGCTTTACTTGGTGAACTGATTTTGATCACCAGGGCAGTCACTGAGGAGGTGACGGGGAGGTCAGCCTGCCCCAAGGCAATACAGTGGGGGAATACAGGGTATAGTTCGTCCAAAAACAGGAAAAACACACTCACGCATACATATTGTACAGTACACACACACACACCAATACATAAATGTACGGGGGCAGCATGGCACAACACAACCACAGGATTACTTTCTATTGGAGTGGATTTCTCTGTTTCTAACCATGTGTACATTTAAAAAAAACCTTGCCCTTCAATGCCCTGGCATATATACTATAGATATCAGTTTACACTAGGCTGTATCTGCCTTCATTATGATACTGCAGGTTCTGCTGTTTGACATAAACACAGGGTAATTGGTGTTGCTAAATCTTTGCGTACAAACTGTACTCTGCTGAGACAAAACAGAGTTAACTTCTCCTCTTCAATGACAGACATTAGGGAACCCAAAGGATCTGTGCCAGAACACTATATTATACATTAAAATGTATTCAGAAAACAAACCACCTTAGGTTGTGACATTGTTATAAAATCTGTTTTGTTTGTGCTTGTTATGCATGCTTTTATGTGACAAGATGGAAGAAGCTGTCATTTCTGTACTAGGCAATGTGTTAACTAATGATTTCATTGACAAAACCCACATGAGACCTTACACACATCATACACTTGGTAAGACAAAATCCAATTGGGTGATGATATTTTTTCCTTCTACAGTAAACCTCCACACTGTTGGATAGCAGTATCGCTACTTGAATCATGGACAGCCCAGTGCAACAATCAATCACAATTCTCAGTGAAACCCAAGTATTGTGGCAGCTCCTTAGCCTCTAGGACATAACAGGTGATAGGTTTCTCCTTCCATGTCTGTGTTTAATATAAGTGAAAACAGAAACTGGCAGCAGGCTGTTTGAGTCATGAGTGGAACCCCACTACCCCATGAGAGAAAATAGAAAACAAGAACCCTGAAAGCTGACCTTTTCCTTCACTGATATTGTCAGACTTATTTAAATGGAGGCCTTTTATAGGAAATCAGAACTAATCGAGGGGAAACCAAAGGGCGAGCCACAGAGATGTGGGGGAGGTTCAGGGGTTTTCATTATTGAGAATGCAGGATGATATCTGGAAACGTCTCTGGCTGAGGCTGAAAGGCAGAGAGCCTGACTGAGATAGGGCAGCCACAGATTGGTCTAGCCATGCCATGATTCCATGTGTAGTGACTCCTACACTACTGTCTAGGACTGTAGCCGAAACCTGTCTGGTAGGACAAGGACTGTGGTGGCACAGGTAGTACACGTTCTAACTAAATCATCGTATTTACGTCAAATGTAGTCATTGTTGTACTGGAAGTACTTGCCAGACTGCCAATCATTCAACATGTGGGTGGAAAACAAAGCTCAATGACAAACATTGGCTTGTCGTTGAAATGGGATAGAGAGAAAGAGAGATAAAAAGGGGGGTTGTCCTGGGGATGTGAAGCAGAAGCTGGAGAGTGACTGCATATTCACAGGGGGAGAATCCTTTTCTGCTTGAGTGCACCCACTGATTCAGCAGGACAGGAGTTCAGGACCAGTTTGTGTCACCACACACGTACACTTGATCATCGGTGATGAGAACATGCCAGTCTACAGCTGCTGCTGGACACAAGGAGAGTATCACACTATTTATAGGCACCTATTCTCCATCCACTGGATCAAGGTACAGTATAGAGAACCTTTGTGTAGATAGAAAACAAAACAGCAGCTCAGGAATATCTAGTCAGATGTTATTTGATAAGATATGATTGATAATATACTGTTTGCCTTGGATGAATCAGTAAAGCAGTAGACTTTAGATATTGGCTGCACAGTAATTAAAATACACAGAATATATTTCAACAACATATTATTGCTGAAAGCATGAACTTCAAATCAAAGGTTTCTATGAGTGGATGCCACCATACAGTTGAAGTCGGAAGTTTACATACACTTAGGTTGGAGTCATTAAAACTAGTTTTTCAACCACTCCACAAATTTCTTGTTAACAAATTATAGTTTTGGCAAGTCGGTTAGGACATCTACTTTGTGCATGACACAAGTAATTTTTCCAACAATTGTTTACAGACAGATTATTTCACTTATAATTCACTATCACAATTCCAGTGGGTCAGAAGTTTACATACACTAAGTTGACTGTGCCTTTAAACAGCTTGGAAAATTCCAGAAAATGATGTCATGGCTTTAGAAGCTTCTGATAGGCTAATTTACATCATTTGAGTCAATTGGAGGTGTACTTGTGGATGTATTTCAAGGCCTACCTTCAAACTCAGTGCCTCTTTGCTTGACATCATGGGAAAATCAAAAGAAATCAGCCTTGGGAGCAATTTCCAAACGCCTGAAGCTACCACGTTCATCTGTACAAACAATGGTACGCAAGTATAAACACCATGGGACCACGTAGCCATCATACCGCTCAGGAAGGAGACGCATTCCGTCTCTTAGAGATGAACGTGCTTTGGTGCGAAAAGTGCAAATCAATCCCAGAACAACAGCAAAGGACCTTGTGAAGATGCTTGAGGAAACAGGTACAAAAGTATCTACAGTGAGGTAAAAAAGTATTTGATCCCCTGCTGATTTTGTAAGTTTGCCCACTGACAAAGAAATTATCAGTCTATAATTTTAATGGTAGGTTTATTTGAACAGTGGGAGACAGAATAACAACAAGAATATCCAGAAAAAACGCAAGTCAAAAATGTTATAAATTGATTTGCATTTTAAGGAGGGAAATAAGTATTTGACCCCCTCTCAATCAGAAAGATTTCTGGCTCCCAGGTGTCTTTTATACAGGTAACGAGCTGAGATTAGGAGCACACTCTTAAAGGGAGTGCTCCTAATCTCAGCTTGTTACCTGTATAAAAGACACCTGTCCACAGAAGCAATCAATCAATCAGATTCCAAACTCTCCACCATGGCCAAGACCAAAGAGCTCTCCAAGGATGTCAGGGACAAGATTGTAGACCTACATAAGGCTGGAATGGGCTACAAGACCATCGGCAAGCAGCTTGGTGAGAAGGTGACAACAGTTGGTGCGATTATTCGCAAATGGAAGAAACACAAAAGTACTGTCAATCTCCATCGGCCTGGGGATCCATGAAAGATCTCACCTCGTGGAGTTGCAATGATCATGAGAACGGTGAGGAATCAGCCCAGAACTACACGGGAGGATCTTGTCAATGATCTCAAGGCAGCTGGGACCATTGTCACCAAAAAAACAATTGGTAACACACTACACCGTGAAGGACTGAAATCCTGTAGCGCCCACAAGATCCCCCTGCTCAAGAAAGCACATATACAGGCCCGTCTGAAGTTTGCCAATGAACATCTGAATGATTCAGAGGAGAACTGGGTGAAAGTGTTGTGGTCAGAGGAGACCAAAATCGAGCTCTTTGGCATCAACTCAACTCGCCGTGTTTGGAGGAGGAAGAATGCTGCCTATGACCCCAAGAACACCATCCCCACCGTCAAACATGGAGGTGGAAACATTATGCTTTGGGGGTGTTTTTCTGCTAAGGGGACAGGACAACTTCACCGCATCAAAGGGACGATGGACGGGGCCATGTACCGTCAAATCTTGGGTGAGAACCTCCTTCCCTCAGCCAGGGCATTGAAAATGGGTCGTGGATGGGTATTCCAGCATGACAATGACCCAAAACACACGGCCAAGGCAACAAAGGAGTGGCTCAAGAAGAAGCACATTAAGGTCCTGGAGTGGCCTAGCCAGTCTCCAGACCTTAATCCCATAGAAAATCTGTGGAGGGAGCTGAAGGTTCGAGTTGCCAAACGTCAGGCTCGAAACCTTAATGACTTGGAGAAGATCTGCAAAGAGGAGTGGGACAAAATCCCTCCTGAGATGTGTGCAAACCTGGTGGCCAACTACAAGAAACATCTGACCTCTGTGATTGCCAACATGGGTTTTGCCACCAAGTACTAAGTCATGTTTTGCAGAGGGGTCAAATACTTATTTCCCTCATTAAAATACAAATCAATTTATAACATTTTTGACATGCGTTTTTCTGGATCTATTTGTTGTTATTCTGTCTCTCACTGTTCAAATAAACCTACCATTAAAAATATAGACTGATCATGTCTTTGTCAGTGGGCAAACGTACAAAATCAGCAGGGGATCAAATACTTTTTTCCCTCACTGTATATCCACAGTAAAACGAGTCCTATATTGACATAACCTGAAAGGCCGCTCAGCAAGGAAGAAGCCACTGCTCCAAAACCGCCATAAAAAAGCCAGACTACGGTTTGCAACTGCACATGGGGACAAAGATCGTACTTTTTGGAGAAATGTCCTCTGGTCCTCTGGCCATAATGACCATTGTTATGTTTGGAGGAAAAAGGGGGTGCTTGCAAGCCGAAGAACACCATCCCAACCGTGAAGCACGGGGGTGGCATCATCATGCTGTGGGGGTGCATTGCTGCAGGAGGGACTGGTGCATTTCACAAAATAGATGGCATCATGAGGAAGGAAAATGATGTGGATATATTGAAGCAACATCTCAAGACATCAGTCAGGAATTTAAAGCTTGGTCGCAAATGGGTCTTCCAAATGGACAATGACCCAAAGCATACTTCCAAAGTTGTGGCAAAATGGCTTAAGGACAACAAAGTCAAGGTATTGGAGTGGCCATCACAAAGCCCTGACCTCAATCCTATAGAAAATGTGTGGGCAGAATTGAAAAAGCGTGTGCGAGCAAGGAGGCCTACAAACCTGACTCAGTTACACCAGCTCTGTCAGGAGGAATGGGCCAAAATTCACCCAACTTATTGTGGGAAGCTTGTGGAAGGCTACCCGAAACGTTTGACCCAAGTTAAACAATTTAAAGGCAATTGAGTGTATGTAAACTTCTGACCCACTTGGGAATGTGATGAAAGAAATAAAAGCTGAAATAAGTCATTCTCTCAATTATTATTCTGACAACTCACAACCTTAATATAAAGTGGTGATCCTAACTGACCTAAGACAGGGAATTTTTACTAGGATTAAATGTCAGGAATTGTGAAAAACTGAGTTTAAATGTATTTGGCTAAGGTGTATGTAAACTTCCGACTTCAACTGTACATGCAGGGCTCTACGGCTACGCAGTCTTTTTTTTTTTACAAGGAGCACGTGTGCGCCTAAGTTTAAAAAATGGAAATTAAAAAATAAATTTAGGAGCACAAGGAAAAATATTTGAGATATAAAAAATGTCTTAAATTATTTTAAAACCGTGTGAGTAAAATGGTCGCACTGTAGAGCCCTGACATGCTCCCTACTCTCTATATCCGTCAAGAGGTGATGACAATCTAAACATCAGAGCGTATAGGAAGTACTTGGGTTAGTTCCTTCTGAAGAGTTGGTTTTAGAGGTTTCTGCAAGACACTGCATTCTCTATGTATGCACACCCCAACATCTGTACAGGATGTGACAAGTTGTTTAAAAAGCCTAACACACCAAAACCTAGACGTAGTCCTACTTCTGCTTCACTGGAGAGAGAGAGAGGTGGAGCATATATGCATTACCCAGACAGAGACTAGGTTGCACTTGATGTTGACAGTCACTGATTGCTATACCTCTATAAACGCTTATGTGCATTTTCATTTAATGCCAGTTTTCAGAAACACCTCGACAACTGCAGTAAATAAAACTAAAAGCCTAAAACGTCCAACACTTTCTGCTACAGTGTCAACGGCCAGCATAGTATTATTCCATGAACTGGAACGGTAAAAAATATAATACAAATATTGGATTTATATAGTACATTTATAGGACCAAAGACACTTAAAACTAATCAACAAAAACTCTACTTTATCCCTCACTGTCATACTCTACTTCAGGCATGTTCATTATTAGTTTATTTATAAATGGGTTATAAACAGTTAAAACACAATGGTTTAATTACATTGTGATTGATTGATCCTAGTTACAATGTTTTATGTTGACATGTTTTTTGGAACATATTAAGTGAGAAATATATACTTGATTTGTTTCTCACAACATTACCAAGATGAATTGAACCAGAGAGACAGATGTATTTTCTCTCTGAGCAGGTTACCATGATTCCTGTGAGTCTCTTCCTCTGAAAGGGGTTGTCTACACTGTAAAAACGTACTCAATCATATCTCCTTCCAAGAACACATCCTGCTATAGATCAATAATAGTTAGAAACATAATCAAATTAGAGACTATTCAAGATTTGAATACTACCACAATCCAAAAGGCACACAACATAATGCTTATGTCTTCTTTTACAAGAGATGTTTCTGAAACCTAACAATGGCTGAATGCAACTGTTGCTAAAAATGCATGTCTTGGTTAAATTCTAATCATGTAGAACCAGCACCTAACATCATCTCCTCAGTTATGTTTCTATCAGCAATCTTAGTACACGGTAGACCACTATCACAATCAATAGAAACCTCTCATCAACAGATAAGGTCTCATTGAGGTTACCATTGCCACTGCCATGAGTCAAACAGAGTCAGTGGTGGTGGAGATGGCTGTGCCAAGCCAATGTGAAATGAATTGGTCTTGTCTTACAGGAAAACTTGAAAAGAGCAGGAGAACCCTTGCCCCTGCTGCATGCCTAGGGATTGCTGCACATTTCAAAAGGCCAGACTTGTTCTTCTGAGGGAATGGGATCCTCACTCGCTATACTCTTAACTGTACCAGAGAAGAGGTGTGAGTGAAGAAAGAGGAAAAAACACATTGCCTGCCTGGACTTCAAAGGGGCCTAGCACCACTGCTCTGTGTATGGCCATCTGAAGCCTTGCTGGTGCCTGCTCTGCCCTTTACCCCCCACCCCTCTCTCTCTCTCACTCTTTCTTGCGTGCACTTGCGCTCACGCTCTATGTCTCTCTCTCTCTATGTCTCTCTCTCTCTCTGTCTCTCTATCTCTCCATGTCTCTCTCTCTCTCTCTCTCTCTCTCTCTCTCTCTCTCTCTCTTTCTATGAGTCTCTCTATGTCTCTCTCTCTCACCCTTTCACCTGGCTCCATTTAAGTTCCATTGGAAGTGAGTAGCATTCCAGAACCCAATGGCTCCAATACTTTTCTTTCCCTATCAGTGGAGAATTCCATAATGAGAGTAGCTATTTTGTGGTAAAACATTTTTTTTTATATATATAAACCTGTTTACACACACAGTATTTCAATTAAATGTGCATCTAATCATTACTATCATGATTGTGTAGGCGTATGTTGCCTGTGCCTCTGTGTTTGTGCGTGTGTGAAGGGGGGGTGGGGGGGGTGGGGGGTCATTATGGGTATTTTAAGATATGCATTAATTACTTTAATTATATGAGCCGAGATGACCATGACCAGACTGTCATTTTCCACAGGGTTATCTGCCAGGAGAGGTTATATCAAAAACGGACAAACACAGAGGCAAGCACCAACATAGGCCTACACAATCATGATAGTAATGATTAGATGAGTAGAGAGATGAATGCGATTGAAAGAACCTGAACCAACTGTCACTGATTTAAACCATGACAGAGAAGTGGGGGGTGCTCTTTTAATTTGGAATAAGCTTTTATTTGAATATTTACCATTGTAGCAGTACAAAATTGCATTTTAAACAAATAGGAAAATTGTTAAATTAGAGACCGTCGCTTATGCCAGCGTGGTGATACACTCTGCATGCACTTCAGGGGGTCAAGCTGAAGTGTCATAATGTATTCCAGCAACAATATTTCCATGATATAGTGGCTAGTATTTATGCTCGTCATCATCGGACATTGGACTCAAACCGAAGCATGAGAACTTTGGGCGGCAGGTAGCTTAGTGGTTAAGAGCGTTGTGCCAGTAACCGAAAGGTCTCTGGTTCTAATCCCCGAGCCGACTATGTGAAAAATCTGTCGATGTGCCCTTGAGCAAGGCACTTAACCCTAATTGCTCCTGTAAGTCGCTCTGGATAAGAGCGTCTGCTAAATGACCAATTTATTTTATTTTTTATTTTAACTTGGATTGCTTTGCCTATTATTTTCATGATAAGTTGCACAAGTTATATCAATTATGATATAAAAGAAATTAAAATATGCTGGAGTTAGTTTATTTTAAATTTAGCTTAAATATCATGCAGATTTCATTATGGGCAAATAGCAAAACCATTCTTGCCAGCGAGTTTAACATGTAAATGTTTATGTTTTGTGCATGAATATCTCATAAATAGGCCTACATATTTTGGAGCACTTTGTTAGTCTGTAGCGGGTCAATATCCTCATGTCCTGTCTGGATGAATTCTTATAGGCCCAATTCATTTTCGTGTGACAGACTCGGCTTTGGCAGTTTGGCACACATTGATAAGGCCAACATTATGTAGCCTACACATACATTGTTTAGGAATGACTTTGAGGAAAACAAGAGCAATGCACTAAGGAACAACTTTCCCTGAACTTCTCACCAATGATTAGCCCACAGGTGCTCATGCCTTGTCACCTGTCAAAACCTTTCAGCGCTCACTGACCTAGGCCTACATATGGAACCAACACATTGTGCTCATTTCCCACTGGGCAAAAACTGGTTGAATTAATGTTGTTTCCACGTCCTTTCAACCCCAAAAAATACATGTGATGATGTTGAATAAACATGGAAAACTGATTGGATTTGCAAAAAGTCATCAGTGATTTCTTTATTTTTTTTACCAACTTTTAACTTCAATCCAATGTCATGGCGACATTTTTTTTGTTGATTTCACGTTGAATTCACGTTAGTTGAAAACACAACCAAAAAATACATTTTGAACTTACGTCTGTGCCCAGTGTCTTGTCATTTGGTGTCTAAATAAGATGTTATAGGCTTATAATAAACAGGCAATGTAGTCCCCTGTAGCTCAGTTGGTAGAGCATGGCGCTTGCAACGCCAGGGTTGTGGGTTCGTTTCCCACGGGGGGCCAGTATGAAAATGTATGCACTCACTAACTGTAAGTCGCTCTGGATAAGAGTGTCTGCTAAATGACTAAAATGTAAACATCTAAATACGTTTCCCTATGAGGGAATTGGCAATTTTACTCACCGTCCCTGTTTCGTTATGATCATTTCCGTTTGGTATTTGTGGAATTTAGCCCACAGAGGATAGTTGTTGAGGAGAGCCTGCGTCTTCCCGCACACCTGTAGCCCAGGTAATGGGTAGAGTGGCGTGCGATGGTACCCGTGTTGAAAGGGCGCGGAATAACTCTCCAGAGAGGCAGGGTAAACGTCTTTGCTTGCTGTCGAAAAACCTTCGCCTCCCGTCGGTAAATAAGTCTGTCCCATCCCGTTTCTAGTCGGCGACCTGACACTGCTGAAGTGGCAGCTATTGAGGGGAGTTGGTGAGTAAAACATCCCGGGTTGTGCTCCGAATCCGGCCACAGTTTGGTCTGAGTGGTACGGCAGTGCCAACCCGTCTTGTCCATTTTGAATTGAGTCTGGGTAATATAACCTGGTGTCCTGAATCCCCATTTTCAACTCCCCTAAATCCTTGCTGCGTTGAAGGTGATTGTTGATATCGGTGTCTTTTCCGAAAGTTTGCGTATCAGTCCCATTCAACATACTGAGGTAAAGATTGGCACCTATGCCGCCCATGTGCAGCCCCAGTCTCAGTGTATGTGCAATGTTTCACGTCCGAGTGGAATGAAAGCGCGTTTAACGATTTTGAGATAAATGCACAAAATTCAACATTTCGTCCACCTACCGTTTTTTTTCACCCAATAGCTAAATAACATTTTCTGAACTTCCTAGAACAATGTCTTTTTTTATTTTTTATGGAAAACGCACCCTCAATTTCAATATACCAACAAATAGGCAATATTTTTTGTAAAAGACACGGGGTAATGATTTTATCTTTGACCTTCGAAAATAATAATATAGTCTTTATTTTTTATTTTTTTTACAAGAGTCCCTACCAGTGTCTCAAACGCATACCCTGCTTCCTAACCTATGATATATACATTTTGCGATTGGTAATTGGTTGGAGGTGGGTCTGATGCCGAAGCTGGACGTGATAGGCTTGAATTTCACAAAGACCCTCCCCATTTCCAGAGGACTTGCTCGTGCGCTCATATATTCTAACGAAGCAGACAACACGATAAACCATTTTTAAACTATCTGAAATGGTTGAGAGTGCAACGTTTTCTCACTTTAGGCTACTTAAGGTCATGAACACATTTTAGGAAATATAAATAATACGATGCGTCAGTCCATTGTTTACTGGAATTGCAAGTGATCAAAATAAACAATATATTTTATTGTAGTGGCAGATGCAGGTAGGCAATGATAATACTATAATGAAAATGATAATATGAATAATAACAACATCAACAATATAGTAGTAGCCTACTATAATGCTACTGTACTAGGCCTAATAGCCTAATGATAAAGTAGCCCATTTTGAATACAGCACACAGAGAAATTAAACAGATAATTAACATATATAGGCATATTGTTAATCATATGTAAATTATTCCTATAGCTTGATAAGATAGTCATACCCTAACTTTTGTGAGCCTATTCTTCGATAACATATTCTTCTCTGATTTTAGCCCACAATCTTTTGCCATTTTGTTTTAAAAACTAACAAACAAATACACAAACAAAAACAAGTTAATGGTTAGTCATTCGTTTATTCATAACCTTTAGATTTGACCAAATGCACATTTCTGGTCTTCATGTTGTCATAATTCAAATGTTGTAATATCAACCATTTACAACGCATTGGTTAACTGACACAGCTTTCACTGGCGCGCGCAACACGTTCTGGATCACACTGACACCAGACTGTGATCAATATATTCTCAACTCTGTCTCGGACTTTAAACCAACGTAGCTTACATGCAACATTTGAATTAAACGCTCTTTATTTTCAATGTTTTAGTCATCATCAGAGGGAGGGTTGATAAAAGAATCCGCACACCCACAAGGTTTTGATTTCATTTAGAAAAATAGCCTAATCGGGTAACAAAACGTGTCCTATTCAACTTAACAAAAGTTTCAGAGTTTTGTCATGTTTAATAAAATGACAATTCTAAAATGTTTTTGTTTTGTAAAATAATGCATATCACCTATATTTACTATATTTACTCAATCATGTTTTAGAAAATTTAACAAATAGGGCTTGTAGAGGAATAGATTTGCAGTAATCTAATACCAGTCATTGTCACCTTGATGCATTTTAATTAGCCTGCACATGATCAGTTATTGATTGCTTGAAAAGGAATGAGTAAAATTTGAATCCATAATATTCCAGAGGTTCTTCTAACTCTGACTTTAAAATGTTTAACAGTTTCGTTTTTGGACTTAAATTGGTCAAATCCTGATATTTGCTGTCAAATGAACCACATAAACACATTGATTTCACAAGGAATCAAGTAAATATAATAATTTAGTTGGTTCCACAAAAATGTGAGTTATTTATAATAATTCAGTGAAAATAATGTGATCTCTCCGCTACAATACATGTATTAGCTCAGTAGCAGAGTGAAGAATACTAGAGAATAGTGTACAATATGAAATAGAGACTGAGGTAACTGAAATATTGCATATGACTGACTCCAGCAACAGACTCAGGATTTAAGAACTGTCCCCGTGTGTTCCAAGAACACAGACATGACTTCTGTTAAATCTGCTCAGAGAGAAGATCTTTATGTTAAACACAGATAAAACAGATAACTCAAGGTGTATTGACACACACACACACACACACACACACACACACACACACACACACACACACACACACACACACACACACACACACACACACTAATACACAGAAATCCCCCAAGTGCAGGTATGACACAGTCCTCCCCCTCCACACTGTCATTGCTCTAATCTCAACTTCCTGTATCTCTCCTAGCAAGGTGAGCTCACAAGGGCACGCCGCTGAAGTCATCGGTGTTGACACGAATGGCGAGAGGGCCACAGTCTGAGCGACACAGCGGCCAGGCCAGCCAGGCGTACCCATGAGCCTCCGGGGCAGAGCCACCATTTCTCCCGCATTGCTCTCATGCCATCCTACTGCAGGTTAGTGGCCCCAGGACATTAACTTGGTGTGCACAATCAGCTTTCATTTTATCCTCTAACAATTACAAACAGGCCACGTGCTAGTTCTCAACATATCCATCCAAACAGACCAACATAATAATAAGGCACTAACCTCAAATTGTATGTGTGGATAAATTATTTCAGATATTTTTTTTTCTTCTATTTCCTACAAATGGACTTACTATATTTCGGTCAAAATGCAGTTAAAAGCTGTCTTTGACCTGGCAATCGAAGAAGCTAGAATGGACCTTTAGCCTTTTAAAGAAGTCTGTGAGCTGACAGATTTAACATTAGAAGTGCTATACTTCTGAATGAGTTGTGCTCCAGTGTGGAATCAGTTAGTTAACCAAGGTCTTTATCAAGATTGTCATCTAGCGCCTTGGCTAAACAGTGACACATTTTTTGTGAAAAGTGTTACATATCTCACATCGGACATTAGCGAGTGGCCTCTGAAGATATCTACCCAGAGGGTTACATGATCGTAAAAGTTACTGATAGATTAGTCCACACCTCAAATGATCAATGAACACTACGCTTGGTTGTTACCCATAACATTTATAGTAGTGTAAGCCTACAGTGTTACTTAAGACTGAATTAGAACTAGTTTACAAGACACAACAATTACATTTACAAACTGTTGACAATAGTACGGTCCTTATGCCTTCAGGCGGATACCATTAATTCGGTCTGTAGCATGTCCCAATTGGCTCAGTGCAGAGAGGAAGGGAACAAGTGCCCCCAACCCCCCACTGAACCTGATTGGGCAGTATGGTGCCTAGACAGAGGACTACAACACGGTACGCTATGTCAAACTGTACTCCATCATTCACGCTTCTCAGTTGACAACAGGTGTTTCCAATCTAGTTTATGTGCATTAAACAGAAACTTGCTTAGACCGCTGCTTTCCAAAATTCTGTCAAACTCTATAATATAATTGTTATCCACGTGTTCGGTGTCAGCTTTTTCCACTGAGTGCATAACCTCTAGTCATAAATACTAGTGCCTTGACATTTAACCAATGTGGGTGGGCCTCCCAAGTTTTACCCACATGGATCTCAAATCAATGAATCAACTGTAGCCTGTATGAATCATAATGTTGACTTGTGGCGTACCACACTTGAAGTTGGTTTCATAGCTCCTGCACAACTCTTGAATGGAGTAAATTACACCTGGCACACCATCACTACGAAGCATGACAAATTATAATCTTTGTTCAACATTAAATGGATAATAATTACAGGGTTATGTCAATTGGCATAAGTCTTACGAATGTTGTTATAATCTGTCATTACCTTACGACAGGTGTCACATATTCGTATGACTATGTTATAACCAATACATTGGCACGTGTTTCATGGCAGCTGTGAGAATGTGATGAAGTCTCGGTTTTGTGTTTGGGCGTGTTGATTCTGCTGAGGCAGTGTGGTGCAGGTGTGAAAGCAGAAGCGGGAAGCTCCTCGTAATCGCTCTGCAAATGGTTCTGATTAGAAGGACTTAGCGGTAGCACATGCTTCTCAGCCGGATCCTGGAGAACCAGCTTCCATTCTGGGTGCGCTGTGGCAACGGGGCCCTAATTAGCTCAACATATGTTTATTTAAATCTCCATTGGGAGTGTGAAATGAGGCACCGCCTACAGAGGCTGTGAAAACAGAGGGTGCCAAATGAAGTGGTGAAGGTAGTAGAAGGAAAGGGAGAAAGAACGAGAGACTGTGAGAAGAAGTGAGAGAGGAGAAAATAGCACTTAGTACTTGGCGCCATTCACACCCGATATCACATGAACTCTTGGAGAAGTGAAAATGTATTCCACTGCAACCCTAGAAACAAAGAAGTTGCCACTTCCTTAGTTTATAATTAGATTGTAATCAATGCTGGGTTGGTTTCTCCCTCAGTAATAGAGCTCCAGCCATGGGCGGCAATGCCGGCCCTGCAGTTGCAAACAGACAACTGTGACAGAAGATCCAGATGATTCTTGGACATGAAATAAGAGACGGTTTCCATGCATTCTTGGCACAGTATTTGAAATAAAAGTTGTCTTTATGGCACGACTTAACAAGTATTTACAAGCATACCTTATGGATTGGCCTTGAAAAAACAATTTTGAAAAGACCTAATTCAAGAATTCACACATGGCTAGTAGGCCTAGGAAATAAGTTCAATTAAAGAAAGCTGGAGGCCATGTTTGCTTCACCAGTGATTTCACAGAGAAAAGTGGCCATTGACATGGTCTCTGAAAGCATTGTTATGGAGCGGCCCTGTGACATTTGCCACCAGAGAGAGCTTGCGTAAGACGAGGGCAGTGTTGTGATGGGTAGTGGGAGAGTGCTCATTCTCTGGTCAGCCCATGAACCCTGACTCACCCCCTATAAACGCCCTGAGTGTTTGTAAGCCACAGACATCTGCCTGCACCTTCTCAAGCACGCAGAGCTGCCCTCACACACCCAGACTCCAGACGTGACCTTTCAGCCTGGAAATGTTAACAGTGGAGCAAACTGTTCAGAGATCAGTCACAAAGACCTCTGTGGTCGCGGTGAACGCTCAGCAGACCCAGCTGTAGGACCAGTCAACCTAAATCAGACCTAAGATA